TCTTCCCTTTGTTCTTGAGAAATGCTGTCTCTGATTGTCTGACTTGATGCTTTGTTCGTCCTGCTCTTATAATCTCTCCCATTTCGTAAGATCTCATCCTTAAATTGTTGGAGGTAAATTTTATGGGCAGATTGCGTTTGTTTTTTGGTTACTGTGTTCAGGATGAACTTGGCAAAGTTTTTTAATGTGAGCTGAATCTGGAAATAAGAGTTAAAACATTTTAGGAGCTCTTCATGTAGTAAGCAGAATGTTTTGTGCATTCCAGTTGCCTTGGATTGGTTTTCTATGTGTCAGGTTATAACCAAATTGGAAATTGTTTTTTTAAGAAGCAAAACTACAGGAGAGAATCAAAACTATATAACCCTTGTTTACTTTTCTAATAATAGCAAGCATTACTTTGTGTCAGGTTAAAATCCTTTGTTTCAGACTGTGTTCTAATCACTTAAATATTAAACCATTTAATATACACAGCAATTTGATGAGAGAGATGTATTATCATCCCTATTTTATAAATCAGGTAATGGAGGTATGAAGAGGCTAACTAACTTGCCCAACGTCACACAGCTAATAGGATGGTGGAGTAGGACTTTGAATCCAAGCATTCCAAGGCCCTTGTTCTTGATGACTGCAGTGCACTGCTCTTTACTCATTGAAAATTGGCAGCTATTGGATGGGAATTGAGTTTTTGTTACTTTTAAACCATCTCTGAAATATGAGTTTACCAAATATTAAAAATTGAAACTATCAGCAAAACTCTACAATTAGTTTTTTGCTAAGAAAAACTGTTTACAAAACAGCATTCATTTAGGACAAAGAGCTGATTTTTTTCTTTTAAATTATTTCTGTATGTTCATTGAAGAAAGACCTGAAGGACATTGTTTTCTTTTTTGGCAGGGGGAGCAACAATTTTTCCCCTAATTCACTATTGAAGTGGTTACATATGGAAGTAATGAAATCATATATCTTGAAAATCTTGATAAGTTTTATTCTTTTAATGAAACCATTGTAGGTTTTCCTTTGAACTGAAACTAGCAATAGAGCATTAATCACTTTAATATGAATATATGAAACTGATGTTTATTTGAAGATACTGTATAAGACTTTTCTTTCCATAATAAATCTTATTCTGCTGGTCTGCAGCTCCTTATTTGTAGTGACTGGTGTTCAAGTTAATAAAAGAGTGGAAGTCTAGTAAGTCTGTGTCGTCTTTTGGGTTATTAGTCTGTATTCACTTCTAGGTCCTGTTATCTTTAGATATATCTTGGCAAGTGGAGGCTATGGATGCTTCAGGGAGTTATACTGCAAAGGATTTGGGGGCCAGTTTTATAAATAGTTGCAGTGTGTGACCCAGAAAATCTACATGGCAGGTTTTGGATGACAGATGGAGAGAGGAGACAGATTTTCCCTTCTGGCAACTATTTTAAGATTTTGTATAGTCATGCCCTCCCTGAACAAGGCTTACTGTCATTACCTGAGTGACAGGATGAGGACGTGGTCTAAGCCAGTTGTCCCAGGTGTAGGGTAAATCCTCTGGCCACGGTTGATCTTTGATATGGTATCCCAACCCAACGCTAGATGACTCTGAGTCACATAGTAAGGCAGGTATTTCCTTTTCCATTTTCTTTTAACTGTCTGATCCAAGGAGGAGATCAGTTGACACCATTGCCCCTTTAGCATCTCCCAAACCTTTCAGGATCTCCCTTTATGACAGAGAGCAGGTTCTGAAGATCCCCAACTTTGATAGGCAGCTGTGTTTGGTCAGAATGTAGTTTCATTGTTCTGCGTTCCCTTGTTTTAGTATGTGTAATTCTCTTCTACTTTTGACAAGAAATACTGGCTTTCTGTTTACAGTGAGGATAAGGTTTTTCTATGAAAATTAGTTTTATTCAAAGGAAAATGATGAGTTAATCTAAAAACAAGAACTAGAGTATATAATAATATAGGTGTTATCTAGACATGGCAAAACTATGAATTTCATAGAGGAGTGGCAAAATTATGGGAAATATTGGTCTGATACCTGCTAAGGGCTTCCCTGGTGGCTCAGTGGTAAAGAATCTGACTGCCAGTGCAGGAGTTGTGGGTTTGATTCCTGGGTTGGGAAGATACCCTGGAAAAGGAAATAGCAACCCACTCTAGCATTCGCTTGGGAAATCCCATGGACAAAGGAGCCTGGCAGGCTACAGTCCGCGGGGTCGCAAAAGAGACAGACCGGACTTGGCGACTAAAGAACAATAACCTCTGCTATGGTTAATTATATAGAGATCTACATTCTCTTCTGTGTTTGTTTTGGAATTCAGAATGTTCAGGTCTTATTGGCAGAGAGCTATTATATATGATATGACTTGCGTAGGAGACACTGAGGCAATGCCGTCATCAAGTATGACAGTATTTCTGCAAGAAAATATGTGACTGTACAGTGGGATAAATAGAGATAAATACATGGCCCCATGTGGTTCAGCTCGGGTCATGAAATATGTTTTTGAACCAAACTTAAGGAAAAATGTTTTGATTTTCAGAGATTTCTAGGTTTCAGAATCACAGATAAGAGATTTTAGATCTGTCTTTGTAAACAAATTGCATCATTTTCTAAAATACTGAATTATTATCATTTTCTAAAATACCAAACTAATCATGTAAATAACAAATAATACACCAACTTGGTCCAAGTATCTCCGCTATCTTTATTTTACTGCTGTGTATCACTTCTGTATACATTCTAACCTGCTGTATTGGGCCAGGTAGATTTGTTTGTGCAAGAAACGTTGAATCCAGGTGACTTTCTACCTGTGTATATGAAAATGGAAGTAGTTCTTGGTCCTGCTCAGCCTTGAGATGTGAGGGTCAGTTTTGAACATAGGACTTGCTCTTTTGGTAGTTAAGAACTTGGATATTGGCTAAATGGCAACGCATTCACTGGCACCAGACAATTTGAGGTAATATTTCATTTGGTTCTATGTTTTTAAGATAGAAAATCCATCAATTGTTTGCAACTGTTTAGTTGAGTGTAATGTTAGTTCTTAGACAGTCTAGTTATCAATGAAGTCTTAATTTAGCCATGATCAAAATATTTAAAATTGGGCATGACCAGCTTCCCCAGCCAACTATTTTATAGTCTGTGAACTAAAGACACTGTAGAGCAGTTAAGCTGGATTAATTACAGCTCAGAAGGTCATGTTATTTATGATTGGTTTTCGAACATTCTGGAAAATGATAAATGAGCAAGTATTTTCTTCAGAACGCACTGAGATTTGCCAGATTCTCAATTTATACCCTTTAGAACATGCCTTTATTTTTTTTTTGTAATTAGCATGAAAATGTATAGTAATTGATCATAAAAATTATACTTAAGAAGTATTTGTGGGTTTGTATGTTATATTGCAGCTATTTAAATAAACTGATAAGACACTATAGACATGAAGTTTTGCTTTTACATTGTGTATTTCCTCAAGAAGCTTAATTAAATCTCACTTTACTGTTCTGTAGGGAAGAGGTATACTTAGATGTAGAATTTGAGGCCAGGGCCATTTGGCTCATACATATTTATATGTGAATTTTATATCGTCGTCCAGGATTATCCATGAAGAATAGAGTTTTTTTTTTTTTTTTTTTTTTTACTTATGGTACATTAGTGCAACAGTTATTAATGTTTTTTCATTTCTCAACTCACTCCCATGGGCTTACCTGGATTTTAAGTCATGACATAAATAAGACAGGTGGTAGGATTAGGGCTACTTCTGATGCAGCAGAGGCAACACTATCCCTTTTGTACCTATTCAAGAAAACTTACTGGAATGTCAGTGAGGATGACATTTGCTATGGCTGTAACTTTCAGTCTACCTTATTAAAGTCATTTACAGGTATTAAGAATCTACTGTTAGTATAATACACTATGATTAGTATTATTAACCTTGTACCTCACACTGAACATGGTAAAATCACCATTAATAATAACAAAACATCAAATATAACAGTGACAATATTTATTGAGCAATTGCTAAGTGCCAGGCATGTGTTAAGTGCTTTTCATGTCTGAACTCATTTAATCCTTATAACCACACTATGAAGAAAGCATAGTAATTATCTGCTTTTTTACGGATGAGGACACTTTGTAAATGTATTTGGAGATCAAGTAAGTTAGCCAGAGTCACAAGAAATGAGGTATTCTGACTTGACAATGTTTTATTATCTTCAACTTTATCTTCCTCATATAGGGCTTCCCTCATAGCTTGGTTGGTAAAGAATCCACCTGAAATGCAGGAGACTCCAGTTCAATCCCTGGATCTCCTTCCCTGGAGAATGGAAAGGCTACCCACTCCAGTATTCTGGCCTGGAGAATTCCATGGACTGTATAGTCCATGGGGTCGCAAAGAGTCGGACACGACTGAGCGACTTTTCACTCTTTTTATCTTCCTCACAAATACAGTAACATCTCAACTCTCTGGGACTCAACTTTGAGCAACTTTAACTGCCTGGAACAAACCTGAGAACATGGGAAGCAAGCAAAAACATTTCTTCAGTAAACATAGAAATAAAACTCTCTCTGTATGAGATTATACATATTCAGCAGGCAATGAACGGCTAGACTGTGTCCTATCCAGGGTCCTTTCAGAAAGGGTCTGGATCCTGACTACTTCAGTGGAATCTGAAGCTTCCAGTGTGATCACTAATGCTTCCATGCTATAAAGTGAAATGAGTTTTAGTTTAGTGTTAAGAATTGAAGACCAAAACCCAATTGATTCTTACGAAAATCTTTCTTGGTCGGAAAAATAGTGTTTGAAATGGGCACATATTTCTTTATCTGAAATGACTGATTCTTTACAAAAGATTTAGGTAACAGAGGGTTCAGATGTAAAGAGAAAATGCTTGCATTTTTGATCTTGTTATGTGAAGACAGCAAAATGCCATCTTGATTTTTTTCTTGTGGTTTGGTTAAGATGGTAAAGCTCGACTGTAAAATAAATTCCTTCTATTTATTTGCCCTGTTTTCATTTTTCCTCTAGATCGTTCCTTTGATGCCCTCAAAAAATCCAAGCATCCCCCAACGTTTCTTGCAGCTGGTCAGCTCTCTGACATGCTGAATGGTGGTGATGAAGTCTATGCTAACTGCATGGTGATAGATCAGGTGAGGTATGAGTGCTGTCGCTAGGGGGATCTGTCGTCTTTTAAAAACGTGCACGTGTCAGAATTCCATTGCGCATTGTAATCTCAGAAAATTCCAGCCTAAGAGCAGCCCAGGGTGATGTTGCCATGGAGTCTCGTCATACGATCACTTAACGTAGGTCCTTCCTTGAGAACCCAGCACACCCTACCCTCCACCAAGAAGCACCATGGGAGGGGTCCTAGGACACTGGCAAGGAGAAGAATGTGGGAACTTATCCCTGGGGCCAAAACAGGAAATGACATTTGGGAGGCCAGCTTCTTCTCTGACCTGATGATGTAATATTTGTATTCAAATCCAGCAGACACTAATGCGTGAGAGCATGATGCCAGCCCTATGTGAGACTGTCACATAAATTACATGCTTAATCCTCACAACACACCTCTTAGTGTATGATTAGGATACAGAGCTTTAGTATTAAAACAGAATGGTGTCATGTTGCAGGGAGGCTGGAACCCTTTAGAATTCTCCACCCATTCCCTGATAGAGATTTGTGAGTTAAAACTCATAGAGACAGATGGCTTGGATGTGTATCTACTTAGGGATTTATTCTTTGTCCTTTCCTGTAGCTTGGTGATCCTCACGTTTTAATATTTTAAAAATTAAAGTATAGTTATAGATCCGAAAATTTCTGCATGCCCTAATTCATGGAAGATTTAAGGGATTCTCAAGAGTAATTTTGATAGCACATAATATCTGCCTTATTTCCTGGTTTTAAAACCTGATCTCCACATAAGAGGCTTTATGTATATGCTCATTGAACAGTGATATATTTTGTCCTTTTTGGGTGGTGGTTGTTAGTATACATATATTGTACCCTATTGTATCTATTACTTATAGATATTTTCTCTGATGTAAACTTTTAAATTTTCTGTCTAGTGGATGCTAATTTCTGCCCATTGGTTGAATGTCTCTTTCCTTTGGTTATGAGAAATTGTTAAATTAAGTGCATAGTATAAATGGCATAGATTGGAATGATATTCAAAGTGACAGAACAACCAAAAAATCAGAATGGACGTCAGCTCTCATTCTTTCGGTGTAAAGCAGCTGAATGTCAGCCCTAGTTATAGAAATCTAGACACAGAGTTTAGGACAACTTAGGACTTAGGACAACAACTTAGGACAACAACTCCCACTTAGGACAAAGTGGGAGGTCTGGGGACATTCTTTTAAGAGGCAAGGTAATTGGACTTCCTGGGCTCTAGCAACATTCCGATTTTAACAGTTTTATTCTGTTGCCACATTTTCTCAGTGTTTAAATACATTTGTCATTGTTTTTTCATTCTCTTCCTCGGTGAATATTGCAGTGCTTCCATTTACCTCCAGTAGCTAAAATTGTACTCAACTCAACATTTGTGGGGCCAAACTGTGTCTTTGTATGTTGTAAGATACCCTAAAAATGGAAAACTTTCCAAACCAAAAATGAGGTTAGGATATAACTTCTGTTTGGAAGCACTTTGAGTGAGAGAAGTTTTGCTTTAATAATGCGAAGCATACATCTAAAGAGAATTCAAACAGCCTGATTGATAAACTGAAATCAAGAAGATTGCTGAATTTGTGCAGTGAAACAAAAGTCAAAATCTGGCTACAAGTCACTAAGTTTCTTATATTGGTGTAGTGTAGTTTGTAGTATAATTACATCATTTGTTTTACTGTTTTGGTTACCTATGTACATTTGAATAGTAAGGACAACATAAGGAGTCCAAATTCTGCATACTGAAAATAATTTCTAGCAATATCTGGAAAGAATCTTACCTAATTTTCTTCATCTCCCTCAATCTGGCATGGAAACCTGAAAAGACTGCTAGCTTATTTACGTACTATTTCCCATGAATTTTCAAGGTTATCAACCTACTTGATGAGGAAACTCATGTGATATAAACTATTTTGAAAATTATCATATTAATTACTTTGAAAAAAATTTATTTGGACATTATTTCAAGCCTGCATAATTCAGCACAAAGAATTCTTATATACTCTTAATCAAAAAATTTCCAAATTTTCCATATTTTACATCATTATTCTGAGTATGTATTTGTATATGTATATGTGTACTTGTAAATGCTTTAGATATGTATACAAATATTAACTTGTTTGAGAGTAAATATGATGCCCTTTTACTCAGTCTTTCATGGTGTATTTTCCTAAAAGTATGGATATTCTCTTACTTAAGCCACATAGTTACCAAAATCAGGAAATCATCATTGACACACTACTATTAGCTGTTTACAGACATTATTCAATTTTAGCCAATTGTTCCAGTAATGTTCTTTGTAGCAAAAGAAAATTCAATAGCATGTCTTGCATTTAGGTGTTGTGTCTCTTTAGTCTTCTTTAATCTGGGACAGTTACTTAGTCTTTGTCTTTTATGATAATTTTGAAGAATACATTCCAGATTGTTTTTGGTGCTGCTCCTTTTGTTTTTACTGTTTTCTCGCTCAGAAGTGATGCCTTTTGATGACCACCACTTCAGATCACCAGTACTTCCTTAGGGCAAGTGTTTTTATCCACTGGTACTTAAAAAAAAAAAAAAAGATTATTTATTTGGCTACCTTGGGTCTTAGTTGGATCATGTGAGATCTTCCCTTGTGGCGCACAGTCTCTAGTGACATGGGTGCCAGTAGTGGCAGGGCATGGGCTTAGTTGCTCAGCAGCTTGTGGAATCTTAGCTTCCTAACCGGGGATTGAACCTGTGTTCCCCTGCATTGGAGTCATAACCGCTGAACCACCAGGGAGGTCCCCAACTGGGACTGTTTTTTCACACCATCCGGTGGAGGTGGTACTTTCTCTTCCTGGTGAAAATTTTAGATCAGTCTTTGGCCCTCCGCTGGCTCCCTCCCATGCAGAATTTTCCAGACTGCCCTTACCCTAACGCAAAGGCTCATGGCAAGAGTGTGACAGGTTGCTGGCTGAGATTTGATGTTCAGTATTTACAGGTAATTTAAAGTTTGGGGTATTTTCTGTCTTCTATTTATGCTAAACCCATACATCTTAGGTAGCTTTATTTGGTCTTTTTGTTTGTGAGACTCAGATTTATGTGACCACCAATAACTTGGTTTCCCAGGTTCCTACAAACTATTTTGTAAGCTAAAATGCCTACTCTTTAATTTTTGTCTCAAGTATTTAAAACATTTCCCCTCATTTTGAGCCAGTGGTTCATAAAATGTTAAAATCACAGTCAGTTTCTGGTTTCGTAACACAGTTCATAAAACACTTGGTCGTCTTCCTTTTGTGAATTATGGGAGAGCAGGAAGTACACAAAAGTATATCATGTAAGAATTCTTTTGCTTATATAAGAAACACAAGAACAAAAAAACCAAAAAAGATAAATAAGTTGGAGGGTCTTTACATTGTGAAAACTGTATTCTTTGCTCAGCCAATCTTTCCTGCTTTTGCTCAGAAAATATTTTTCTTTCAACTACCAGGTTGGTGATTTGGACATTAACTATATTAATATAGAGGGAATCCCTGCAAATACCTGTCTTGAATCTATGGGTTCTTCTTTGGGGCCTGAGAGCAGCAAACCCATCCTTCCTACTGAAGCCAGTGCTGGCACATACCCTCCAAATAAGAACACAGAAGTGACATCACACACAGAAGCCCAAGCGTCTTTCATATCATCATCTAGTTCATATGCTTCCAATTTGAATCTTTCTTTTGGTCTTCGTGGATTTGAAAAGGAGCAAAGTCGTCTAAAGAAAAGAAGGTAAAGTACCACATTCTAGAGAGAAAATGTAGAAAATCAAAGAACTTTGTAGCTGGACATGGAAAATTCTATTTTCTTACTGTTATTGCCCCCACCATTTTTATTTCTACATCAAAATTTGCCTCCTTTTAGGTTCTTCTATTCCATGACTTGAAAGTAAGATACATAAGAAAACTGACAAAAAATAGAGGAAAACCACAATGAGATACCATCTAATACTAGATAAGCAAAAATTTTATAAAGGGTAATAATACCATATTTTGGTGAAAATTCATATGATAGAAACTCCTGTATACAGTTGATATGAGTGAAAATTGTATAATAATTTTGGAAAATATTTTGGCATTTTCTTGTAAGGTTGGATGTTCATATATATTATGACCCAGTAGTGTTACTTCTGTGTCCTAAGAGACATGTATAAGACTATTTATTGCAGTAGTAAATAACCCAATGGGGTTGAAAAAATAAATTGCACTCTATTTACATAATGGGATACTGTACGGTAGTAAACATGAATTAACTGTGACTACATCTGCTTGCACAATTATGTGCAACTTAGAAACATGAAGTAGAACAAAAAAAGAAGCCACAGAATACTTCAGTCAGATTTCACATTTATAAAATGCAAAAACAATCTGTTACTGTAGGGCATGTGTAATGTGCTTAAGCCATAAGGAAAAACGAATGAGAATGAAGAGGATAAAAATCCTCAAATTTAAGATACTTGTTACATTGAGTGGGCATTGTAGGGAAAGGATAAAACCACAGTGTGGCCAATGTTTGTTTCAAGTTGAGTGGGCTGATGGGTGTTTATTTTAATTTTTTATTGGAGTATAATTGCTTTTGCAGTGTTGTTAGTTTCTGCTGTACAGCAATGTGAATCAGTTATGTGTACACACCTCCCCCCCGTCTTGGACCTCCCTCCACTTCCCCACCATCCTACCCATCTAGGTCATCAAAAAGCAGCAAATTGAGGTGTTTGTTTTATTTTTATGCTCTGTAACTTATAGTTACCTTACGCATAATTTCTTGTATGTGTAAAAATGTCCCTAGAACAATAGTTTTATTGTATATGATATGATTGTACATATTTATATATGTGTGTGTGTGCATGTGTGTGAGACCCTGTATCTTTGTATTCGCTTCTTATCCATTCATCCTTTAGTCTATTTTCTTTAGGGAATAGGCCCATTTTTACTGATTTCATTTTATCCTAGGGCTTCCCTGGTGGCTCAGATGGTAAAGAATCCGCCTGCAATGTGGGAGACCTGGGTTTGAGCCCTGGGTTGGAAAGACCCCCTGGAGAGGAGCCTGATGGGCTATAATCCATAGGGTCGCAGAGTTGGACACAACTGAGTGACTAAGCACGTATTACTTTCTTTAGGTAGTGAGAATGAAGAGGATTCTTCATGAGGGTGACAAATGAGAATGAGAAGATAAGAATTCCCAAGTTTAAGATAATTGTTACATTGAGTGGGCATTGTAGGGAAGGACTAAAACAATGGTGTGGGCAATGTTTGTTTCAAGTTGAGTCTTATATATCCAGTTTTACACATAAGATTATGAATCAAAATGACAATAAAATGAACACACATGTGAGTATATATAAATATGTACCTGAATGAACATTTGACAGAGACTTAGTTGATCAGAAAGGAGTGAAAGGAAGGGTAAGCAGCAGTCACTGGGTGCTGATCATAGGGTTGTGCTGATAAACAACAGCTTGAGGTTAGAAACCTTTAACAACAGGTATTGGTACCAAGAGTGATGTCTACTGCATAGATAATAAAAGATCTTCTCTAGATTTTTATTGTGTGAATTATAGTTTTAAAGATGCTTGTGTGGTCGTGGCTGCAAATTAAACTGATGGGACATTTTGGGCTCTGCTTTGACACAAGAGACAAGGAACATAACCAAATTTGAAGTCTGTTTCTGGTTCTGTTTCAAAATCAAGATGATGTGTTGTTATTAAAATTTTAGCTCCAGAAGTATAACAGCCAAAGAAAAACTACATTTTAAAAATGCATTATTCATTAACATGCCTATGGAAATTCTCAGCCTCAAAGCTTGAGTGGTTTAAAATGGAGATGGAACGGAAGGAACTGGAAAGGTGCAAGGTCAAATTCTTGCCTTTTAATTTTATGGTTATCAAAGTTAAATGAGGAAAGAAAAGCAGTAGGTTCGCAGCATCACCACCTGCTTCTGAAATGGAATTTTCATAGGAATCATTTTCTTAAGTCTCTAAAAGTGATAATTGAACAGGACATGTTTGGAATCTCACTTGACTCGGGCCTGACCCATTTCTTGACACCAGCTCCAGATTGAGATCATCACATCTCTCCTTGTCTTAGCGTGCTTCCACCCTCCTGACTTGTCCAGGGGCAAAGGAAAGAAAACCATGCTGCATTTTTCACGTGTAAATTGCCCCAGAGCCTGCCCCCTCTCCACGAAACAGCTCAGTGGCTCTGTTTTGTATGTGTTTTTAATATTTGAAGGGTAACAATTTGGGCCTTGTAATATTCAAACCCAGGTCTCCTGCAATGCAGGCAGATTCTTTACCATCTGAGCCACCGGGGAAGCCCAATAATTATATTTACAAAACAGAAACAATGAAGATAGTACTAATTTGAAATGACTTTTGTTAGGTTGAAATGTTCATTTGGGGAAACATAAAATCTTGTTTAAGAACTATTCAGGATGAGGGGAGAGGAAAAAATGATAAAAATCACTTAAGTATGAATTTTGTTAGGTATTGAATGAGAGCCCCTTGTAGCTGACACCAAGAGAGAATCTGAATTCGGGGGACATAGAGGGCCATGGCTGTCTTGCTTGATGGCTTAGTTGTTTATGTGCTTTTTGCTGCAGTTCCAGCCTTGATGCCCTGGATGCTGACAGTGAAGGAGAGGGCCATTCGGAGCAGTTGCACAGTTGCTGCGCTCCAGCGTGTCAGAGTTCCTCGAGAGCTGGCATTACTAGTGGGGATGAATTGGACTCTTTTGAGACCAACACTGAACCAGATTTTAATATCTCCAGGACGGAATCATTTTCTTTATCAAGTAACCTGCAGCTGAAGGTATTCTTACTACTATTCATTTGGTTTATTAAAAGCCTGGAAAGTATGTTGTCTAACTCTGCTCATCTCTGAAAGACAAATTATGTTTATGGTAACACGTGTGAATGTTTTTTTAATTGAAGACCCATGAACTTCATGAGTCTGTCTTTTTACTCTCTCACATTCTAATGTGTATAGTCCTTACGTACAATGGCTGATTTGTTTTCATGAATCCCCACCAATGCAGATCATCTTTCATGTTTTTGGAAAATTGTACCATTTTATACAGTGTTTTCTGCCATCATCCCTTAACCAATGGGAGAAAGGCTGGTAGTATGAAGTGAGTTTAAATGATCAAGCTTGGTGCTGGTGATGATGTAAGTAATATTGCCAAGGCAGAGGTGCATGAACTCATCTGGAATACCATAGACTCTTAGTTTTTCCACAGGAGACAGCTTTTGTGTCTTTTTTCACATTGGAGTTTCATTTCATTGTGGTTTCTTGAAATGACTAAACTCTTCCAGTCTTACAGGGAAGTCCTTTTCTGTTTGGACCTGTTTCTTTTTTATTTTTATTGTCCACTTGTTTTCTTTTTAAAAGGAGTTTACTCTGTAAATGCAATGTGTTTGAATAAAACACTATAAAACGATGTGTGCTGTGCCTTAACATCTCTTATCTCAAACTTATGGTGGTTATGATTATGTTTTATTTTTATACGATGCTCTACAATATGTAAAACATGCTTCATGTATGTACAAAATACATAATCTCATAACTCACCTAGGATATAAAGTGCTATTTTTATTTTAACTTTTGATCTGTTAAAGTTCTGCAGAGATTAGATGTCCACATTGCCCAAAGCTTGGTGACAGAGTTGGAACTCAAATCTAGGCCTTCTGACCCCAGAATCTGAATCCTGTACCCTCAGCTCTGAGGTCTGTAGAGCTGTCATCATCTTCTGAAACTAAAGATCATGTGATATTTCTGGATAATAAAAATTAGATATGGTTGTTCATGTAGCTATTTCTCAAACTTGTAATTTGAATGGAACTGTGAAAAACTCATCATTACTTAGAAGAAAAAGTAATTCTCTGTGAAACAGTTCTATACTGTTCACTTTTATGAAGAATCTGTCCTATAAATTATGGCTTGCCTTGCCTTTGTAATTACCCTGTATAACTTTTTGCCAAGGAATCCTGGATAATTTTCGAATTCCTATTAGGAAAAATGATTACCATGCATGACTTCGATGCAGAGGATGGCACTTGGCTAAGGCCCTTTGTGGCCAACTCACTGTTAGGGGAAAACTTAGGTTGGCCTTTTGGACCTCCAAGCCCACTGGGTCTTTCCTAATAAGAAAGTCATGGAGCCATGACTCAAGGCCATTCAAAGCAAGGTCAGGCTTCTATTTTCAACTTTCCTCCAGGCTCTTTAACTAAACCACGAGCCTAAGGCAACTATGTGCTTTTACTTATGGAGAACAAAAGGAAATAGTGCTTCTAAAGGGCTGTTGCTGATGCCTTAATTTTAGTAACACATTTTGCAGCACTTTCTTTTACCTCTAACCTTAAGTGGTATCTTAATAGTTAATGGGAGGTGGGCATCAGTCCTAAGTCCACATGGCCTCTGTTGGATGGGTTTGGGTACCATAAATGGCTTTAGTGACATTCTTTTGCACATTCATGTAAGATCTCTAGAACATGTAAGAAAAACATGTTTTTATTATCTTGCCTTCTTGCACTTTCACATATGTTGCCAATATAATGATAGAAATAATAGGTTGTTGGGCAAGCAGGAAGAAAACAGAAGGTCATTTTAAAGGGATAAAGTTAAACTATATAAACCAGTGATAATTCAAACAAAATCCCAGGAAGTACTGGATGGAAGATCTGTTGAAAGATGAGCAAAGACTAGAAGGATTTGTATAATGCTCTGATGCATTCTTTTTTGGAGCCTGCAGCTAGCATTACAAATAGCCTTTGTGTGTTAGTCACCCAGTCATGTCTGACTCTGCGATCTCATGGACTGTAGCCTGCCAGGCTCCTCTGTCTGTGGAATTCTTCAGGCAAGAACACTGGAGTGGGTAGCCATTCTCTTCTCCAGGGGATCTTCCCAACCCAGGGATCAAACCTTGGTTGCCTGCATTGCAGGCAGATTCTTTGCCATATGAGCTACCAGGGAAGTCCTCAGGAAATAGCCATTAGGAATTTTTAAAAACATAATTTTTGGTAACTGTTTCTCTACCTTCTAATAATTGTTACGTTTATAGATCTCAGTTCATTTGGAATTTTGCTTAAATGCTACAGTTTAAAGTTATAAAAATAAATGACAACTCAGGCCAAAAAAAGTCAGACTTGTTGAATATGCAGAGAAAATCATGTGACTTAATTTTTCATTTTTAACCAACATGGTTAGAATATTATACTTGTATCCTAAGTATATACTTAAATATATCCTATATACTTGTCTAAGGTATATAGGAACTATTCCCGGAGCTCAAGTTTACTAAAGCATTCAAAAGACAATAGCATTTTTTAGAGTTGTGAATGAGAGACAAACAGAAACAAATCATTAATAAGATTACATCAGAAATATTCAAGTTGAATCTTTTTGTAAAGGTCCTGATTTAGTAATGTTGATGATGAGTGCATACTTTCAAGTCTTCTATAGAATTTTTTAAAAAGCTTTGTTATGATTTCTTTTAGGAATCATTGTTTTCTGGAATCCGTTCACGTTCGTATTCCTGCTCATCACCCAAAATTTCTTTAGGAAAAACTCGATTGATCCGTGATTTTACAGTGTGTAATTCAGTTGAAGGTAAGCATTATTTACCATTTGGCTGTGAAAGCATTCTTTTCCAGAGTGGATTTTCAGTTAGTAAAAGTACATAAAATATATAAGAGGAGCAGGAAAGTATTCTAAATTTCATTTTCACTATTGAGTTTTCTAAACTTAGCAGAACCCTCAGCTCACTGGATATCACATAAAGCATAAATTTTATTTTGATGAAATCACAAATATGTACACACCTCTCTGCTGCCTTATTTTTTTAATAAAATGTTTTCCTCAAGGGTAGTGTAAACTAGAATTTATTCTAGGTTCCTTATTGTGAGGACTTTAGAGAATTTTATTTAAGTAAATTAGTGCTGAAATAACCCAAATCTCCAGAGGCAAAGCATTGCAAAATTGATTGTCTTCATTTCTTTATTTAGTAAGGAACTTTAGCAAGTTAAACATACTTGAAACACCAATAGGTATATCTCAAACAGTATTTTTTGTGGCCCATGTAAACAATTGTAGATAAACTTTTATACAATCAAATTTTTTTTTTGTTAATAGATTTTGTCCTTTATTCTAACGTATTTCACTCAGCTAATCAAATTAAATATTTGAGCAAGTCTGATTCCCAATTAAAGTACAGTATACCTACAGAGAATTGATGCTTTTGAACTGTGGTGTTGGAGAAGACTCTTGAGAGTCCCTTGGACTGCAAGGAGATCCAACCAGTTCATCCTAAAAGAAATCAGTCCTTAATATTCATTGGAAGGACTGATCCTGAAGCTGAAATTCCAATATTTTGGCCACCTGATGCGAAGAGCTGACTCATTTGAAAAGACCCTGATGCTGGGAAAGATTGAAGGTTGGGGAAGAGGACGACAGAGGATGAGATGGTTTGATGGCATCACTGACTCGATGGACATGAGTTTGAGCAAGCTCTGGGAGTTGGTGATGGACTGGGAGGCCTGGGATGCTGCGGTTCATGGGGTTGCAAAGAGTCAGCCATGACTGAGCGACTGAACTGACCTGAACTTATACCTGTGGAAAGGAGTGCATATTATAAGCATGTAGCTTGCTGAATTTTCAAAAGTGAATTCAGATCAATAAGTAGAATAGTTGTGGGCAACTCAGAGCTGCCCTTGTAGTCCCTCTTAGCTACTACCCCAATTGTTAGCTTAATTCTGGAGTGTGATTATTTAATACTTTCTGTTCGTAGTGTATTATGTAATAATTACATTTAAAAGTATTATTTGGAAGTATTAATGTCAGTCTGTAGTATATAGTATTATTACAAATTTTTTGTCAGTATATCAGATAATGCCTTTTTTTGGTCTGTTATCCTTAAGAGTCTTAGAGGACTCAGAAAGCAAGAGATGTGCTTAAGTATTCTCAATATTTAGAATATTTAAAATAGGACTTATTTTACTCCTTTTTTCTTTCCTTTTTTCTTAGTCTTGCTTTGTTACATTGCCATTATTTTGCATTTCTATGCTATGTGGAGCAAAATTGAAAGTATAATCTTTGTGCTTGGATCTGCCATTCTAAAACAGTGACTCATGAATGGAGACGTTCAATCAATATTTGCTGAGTGACAAAATGCATAAAACACAAAACAAGTGCTGCAAGGCATTTTTTTTTTTTTCCTTTTTCTTCCTGGGATGTCTTTTTGGAAGAAGAGAAAACAACGCTGATACAAATGTCAGTTTTGGTTTTTAGAATGGAAAGATGGAGAGAAAGGACTAAGAAGAGGCAAGGATACAACTACCTTGAGGGGACAGGAGTAGAAGATGGATTGAATTTGCCCTGGATTTTTTTTTTTTTAAATACCATAAGCTAAGTCTTTCTAGGATCTCCAGGTCCTCCTGACCTTAGCTTAGGTTGGGATTCCTTTTAATGGCAGCGTTGATACCTTTTCACTGATAGTCTTAGAGATGACGAATTAACTTTGTGCTGTAACTATTTGGAAAACACTTAAGTTTTCTGTGCAGTGTGCAAAATGGTATCTTTGCCTTTTTGTTTCTAGTATCTCTGATTGTTAAATTCTGACAGTTATGATGTTTGAAATCTCAGATGACTGAGAGAAAAATTGAAGTTTGTAAGGGAAAGAGCCCTGATTTATGAGTTCTTTAATGAATAAGGAAGGGTATTTTTGCTTTACATGCATTCCTTAAATCTTTGCATTTGAATTAGAAACAGTAAGAAACTGAAATTAATTCCTGTTTCTTTCTGTGAATGAAAGCTTGCCTTTAGACAGTATATTTAAATATAGGGTAGTTGAATGAAGTTTGACACTCTCCAGAGGTAAGAATTACAAACAGGCAATTTAGGTTGAGGTTACACATTAAATGTACAAAGATTCCAATGGATATTCTTCTATGGTAGCAAACATTGGGTTGATAACATTTAGGTCAGTCAAAATCATAGGACTGCGAAGAGTAAATTAACTCATAAGGAAAAAGAAATAATTTTAACTGTGTGTGTGTGTGTGTGTGTGTGTGTGTGTATGATCACAGCACATGTGTGAAAGCTTGACTGCTTCGAAGATGTGTTCTAATGTTTCATTGTTCAGTCTGCTTTTTCAGAGGTAAATTGATATTTGTGTTCTTATAAATCCTCGATCAATGAGTTTTGAGTAGCTCTACATTTTTTTCTATTTGAGCCGAGTCCAAGTTTTCTTTTCCTCAGTGGAAAACTCTAGTACATGAGCTGTAATATAGATATACAAAGATAGGATGGTCTTTCAGTCTTTTTTATACGTATTTGTAATGTTCTGTTTTCCTTATCATTTCCAAAGGGTTACTTATGATAATTTCTCATGCTTTTTTTTTTTTTTTTGGTTCTGTTTTTTTTGAGCCCAGAGTACAATGGTGGAAACTTTATTATTTAATGCTTTATGCATGAAACAAAATTCACTATAATTCCCTTTGGTAGTTCATGGGTTTAGATAAAAAGGAATATTCTCAATGTTGAAATGACAACTATAGCATCACTAAGACAGACAAAAGTGCTCTACATTTAAGAATTTGAGAAGTGCAGTGAATGTACTTTTGAACATTACTGTGCTCTGAGTGATGGAATCCTGTTAGATTTTGTTCAGTTTCCTGAGCCTGATTCTATTACTTTATTCGCTTGATTATTTTGGCTATATGGCTTATTCTCCTGGCACCTCAGTCTGTGTACCATAAGAATAATGCTTTCTGCCGATGACTTAATTTGCAGGATATTTAATGGGAAGAAAATAAAAGTCTTCGGATTCTTCACAGTGGGTTTTCTACTACCTACAGGATGGTCTTGGGTTGAGCAGTGAAATCCCACATTTCCGAGGATGTGTATTTCTTAGTTGTCCTCCGTGTTGCTCTGGCCCATTTCCCGCTGCCGCCCATCCTTGCCTCTCACTGTCCTGGACTGTGACAGCGAAGGACCTGTCCCTGCCGTGGGGATGCCGTGCTCCACAGGGGCCGTTCCCCTCCAGTGCCTCTCACTGTGCACACATCAGTGCCTCTGCTCCATCCCTGGGGAAGCAAGGTGGTGCCAAGCTGCCCCTTCCTACTCTCCCACCCCTGAGTCCTTGGGGGAGGGACTCCCCCGTCCCATAAGCCACAAAGCCCATCTCCAAACTGACTGCTCTGTGAAGGCACTACAGGTATATTAAAATGGACTCTCCCTTAGGCTGGCTTTCAAGACTTTTCTTTTAAGCTTTGCAAAAAAGCCTCTACGATATTTATTGATTTTGTATTATGTGGGAAAACAAGTGTTAAGAATAAGGAATGAAGGGATAGGAGGGAAATTTGGGGGAGAATGGATATGTATATGTATGGCTGAGTCCCTTTGCCGTCTGCCTGAACTATCAGAACATTGTTAATTGGTTATGTTCCAATATAAAATAAAACATGAAAAAAAAATTAAAAAAACGGGATGAAGCCCTAGTGAGAGATACTGAGAAAGATAGAACTGGGTTTCCACCCTTCTGAAAATGTTTGCTGCCCCTTGCTGATGCTAACTTAGTTCATAAAATCATTGAATGTTGCCATGTTTTGGCCTCCTCTCCATTTTCTCCAAATTAGGGAAAGTGTTAAAGATATCTGGAGCAGTGCCCTAGTTATACAAAATAACTTGTTTTCTTGTTATTTGCTAACTGGTGGTATGTATAATGATAAGGTAGAGTTGAATACATTGTGTGCACTTCAGACTAACACATGACTGCTAGTTCGTCTGCCTTGGTTTTCATTCTATTGTTCTGTGTCTTGTAGAGCAAAGAGCTTACAGCTTGCCGGAGCCACCAAGAGAAAAAAGGTATTTTAACTCTTTCAGATTTCCCGAGGCACTGTTTGATTGGTCTTTGGAAATGGTTAGCCGTCGTTTTCGATGCCTGTTCAGTAGCTTGTGGGAGGCTTTGCATGACGAGCCGGCTTGAGGCTCCGCTCCCTCTGTGACCTGTACGGGTGGCCGTGTGCCAGCTGCTCCTCTCAGCGCCTGGGTGAGCGCGGCTCAGGACGGGACAGCGTGGGCTGGGGTGATTTCCAAAGCCGAACACGTCCATGCCCAGGACAGCGTGGAGTGGCGTGAGACCGCCTGCTTTAGGAAGCTCTGTCCACCGCGACAGGAAGACTGCTGTGTGACAGCGGGCCCCTGGCGCCAGTTATAGGGAGTGCCTAACACCCCTGCTGTCTGTTGTCACGGAGTCTTGTTTAGAAGGGTGAAGTTTGAAACAAAGAAAAAATGATACAGAAAATGCTTTGAACATTATCAACTTTCTGATTAATATGCAGATTTGGAAGCTGTATGCCCTATGCTGCTCTTTCCTCTAGAAGGAAAAACTGTCCTTGGAGTTAACCTTGGGCAGCCGATGAGCCAGCAGAGTGGACTGCTGTGTTCTGTGGGTCTTGAGAAACTAACCGTTCATGAGTCATACTGTGAAATAGCCCTGGGGTTATGTCAGAAATGGCACAGATGTTTGACTTTGAGAGACCATCTGAGAAGGAAGAAAATAGTTTTAATTTGGGTGCTATTAATGCTCAAACTCTGAGATCTTTTACTATATAGATCAGAATGGACTATTTTGCTTTAAACCTTGGACTGGAAGTATGAAGAAGAAAAAGAAATCTCCTTTTGTTCCTTTCTGTTTTTTGGAAACCAGAATAGAAATTTTGAAGCAGAGACAGACTAAGAATGCCCTTTAAGAACAGGCTAATGAGGATGGCATCAGGACAATGACGCTGGTGACTATAGAGAGCAATAACTGTTGTTGGGTGTTTTTATGGGCCTGGAACCATTTTAGACGATTTACGTTTATGACTTTTTTAAATGATTTACTGGCTACTTCTGGAATTTGTTCATCATCCTGGTCATCATTTTGATTAGCAGTCTTCTCCTTGCCATCCTTTTAACAATTGAAGAAGTAATGGACTGATTGTAAAGATTTTTTAAAAATCAAAAATATTTTCCATCAGGAGAGGAATTTAAGACTGAAAGAGCCAATGTCAGAATCAGTTAAGTACTGACTTATGAAATGTGTTAGCTTGAATGGAGACACAGACAGAACAGACCGATGGACAGGGGGCAGCAGGGAGGAAAGAGGAGGTGGGTTGTGTGGAGAAAAAGTAACATGGGAACCTACATAATCATATATAAAACAGATAGCCAATGGGAATTTGCCGTTAACAACCTAGAGGGGCGGGATGGGGAGAGAGATGGGAGCGAGGTTCAGGAGGGAAGGGACACATGTATACCTGAGGCTGATTCGTGTTGATGTTTGGCAGAGACCAACACAATTCTGTAAAGCAATTATCCTTCAATTAAAAACTAAATGAATTTAGAATTAAAAAAACAAAAAGTAAAAGAGCTTGAACAACAACAACAAAAAGTGTTAACTTGGACGGGATGTATAAGGAGCATCTCTTCCTCTCATATTCCTCATTCCTGTTTTTTTCCCCATTCTTTGGTCTGTCTCTGGTCTACATCCTGAAAGCATCCACCTTTCTTAGTCACATCCCCTGGTGTAGCCAGGAGAGTCGATCTTTCATGTCACGTACTGTATTCCTTATAGCTTGTTGGTTATGCCAGTATGATGCCTGCCTAGACCCTAATGCTTTGCTTTGGTCATGTTATAGATACTTACTTGAGGGTTAGCCTTCTGCAGAACTCCCTTATTTATGTTGATCACTTAGTTTTTGGAAAAGAGTTCAGCCAGGTAAAAGGGGTGGGGGGTTCATTTTGAACCTTGCAGGCTCATTCCTGTAGGAGCAGACACTTCATCTATCCCAAGTTCTTTGGATTATATGGTATGACTCAGTTATTTTATTGCCACCATCCATCTTAAATCTGATGGATCTACTGCCTTTTATTTAAAAAAAAAAAACAAACCCTGAGCTTCTGAGTATTCAAAGTTGAAGTCTCAACTCTGTCAATTTTCAATTTGGATAACTGGAGCTTTTTAAACTCCAGTTCTTTAAAAAAAAAAAAGTTAGGAATTAAGATATTGAGGCTATATCCGTATTATTAAGATACTTTAAATATCTGTTTATCTATTAAAAAGGTAATATCAAGATTCTCTGAAGAATGGGGCTTGTAAAACTGTATTGTGGGTAATCTTATTGGTCATCAAATCAATAATAGAGTTAGGCATTCTTGTTCTGGGATGTGGAAAGAGTTTAAGTAAATTTTTTTTACAGATTTTGATAAATTGAAGACTGTTTACATTCTGTTATGAAATCAGTTGAGGATTTTTCCGTCTGAGTTCTTCTCTAAAGTAACTAATTGTTATGTAAGTGAATACCACATAGCTAAATTAGATTTGAAACATGGAATCAACCAACCTTCTACATTTGCCCAGAAGTTACACTGTGATTTTCATTCTTACAATCTGAAAGTGGCTCATGTCTATGATCCTCACTGTCTACCAGGTTAGATGATTCAGAGTTTCTAATATTTAGTGTTTCAGTATTTTTTGGTTTACTTTGTCACATCTTGGTTCTTCTCAGCCTTTGAATTTAAAGATTGAAAGGTATAATTTTATGTCATTTTTAGAAAAAGTATATGTTATTGTTGTTCAGTCATTAAATCGTGTCCAACTCTTTGTGACCCCATGGACTGTAGCACACCAGGCTTCCCTGTCCTTCATTATCTCCCATATAGGGTATTTGCCAAATTAGGTGCACATATAGGTTTTAAATCAAAGCTGTAATGTTGTTCTTGATACAGTTTTCTGTAGCATGGGAAGGAATTGGAGTAGAGTCAGGTAAACAAGAATACATTTTCTTTTATATGAGAGAGTGTTGTGTTCCTGCTGTGAAGTAGGAGAGAGGACTTCTTGACTTTAGAATTCACGTTGACCTTATCATTCTTTAGTTCCAAGAGTTAGGTCTCCTCCCATATTGTTCTTCTCTTAGATATTGGATGGCGGCTCTTGATGGGGTCCCAAAAGTTGTTCCAGAGAGGATTTTTTCAGGTTTCAAATGTACTTTTTTCTCCATTCCGTATTATTCCAAGAGTTTTGCAAAGTAGGATGCTTAAAACACAAGAGGTATAGAACTTTATGGACATATTAACCAGTGAGTTATCTGAGAAGGTGGCTGTGAAAGTAGAAGGAAAATAAGAGGGCCTGGGTTCCTCGTGTTATTCTCAGTAGCTGTAAGACACTTTCATTCTTTTTACCTTTGAAACTATTTTCTGTAAGTAGAAAGCCCAGTTTCACTAACTGCAGGGTTTCAGTGGCAGGACACACACTGTCCTGCAGGACCAAGAGGTAGCTCTGAAGTATTCCTTATTTATTTTAAATGCATTCATAGATTGGAATTCCCAAGTCTAATAGAAAGGTCAAATAACTTAATTTTGTTTAATGTGTACATGTTATCTTTAAGTGTGAGAAAGAACCTTAGAAATAATTTAGTCTTTGATTAGATAGGAAAAATTGAAGTCCTAGACAGTTGTAATTTTACATTTCATGCATATCTATAGTATGCTTGCTTTTGAAAAGTATTTCCCAGAGATGAAGGTATTAGCCACTAACACTGACAAATGAGAAGTCTGAGGGTGTTGGAGAGACATTGGTTATGAAATGTTAATATGGAAATAGTCTGCAGAAATGTTATCTGCTTGATCTTTAATATATTCACGCTTTCTGTGATAAGATTAGAAGTATCAGAAGATCAGAGACAGTTCTGGGAAAATAAGAAAATTCCAGGGGAATTTTATTTTCATAGCTGGGACCCTTTTTTTCCTCCTAAAGAGTGATTCTGTGGGCTAGTGGAAAATAAATGATATTCAGTGTGTTCAAAGATTGGGTACAGTTACCTTCAGCTTGCCTCTTATTTTGAGGGAGTTTCTGTAGTCTTCTGTCCTTTCCAACAGAGAGAATCTCAGGTTGCAGAAACCCTGACTGAGTGGGAGAGATGGAACCCTGAGGCAGATGTTTCTCAGGCTATATGGACAAAGAAATGTGTGTCTTCTGAGTATTGTCTCTGTTCCAAAAATAAATAAAGTCCCAGTTTCATGTCATTAGTTATTTGGCTTCTGGGTACTAGAAAAATTCTATTAGCGTGGTAAACAGGGAAGTGAACATTTTTAGAATAAAGCTGTGATTCTAAGGTTTCCTTTATTTCTCCAATATTTTAATATAAAATTTTTTAAGTATTCAGAAAGGCTGAAAGAATTATACTAGAACACCTATTTCCACCACCTAGATTCTATAATGGTTAACATTGTGAGATAGTGGCTTTATCACATACCTGTTCACCTATTCATCTATAAGATGTATTTTTGATAGTTTCTATTCTTATCTTTAGAATTACCATTAAAGGCTGAAAAGATATATATGTTTAAATATATGTATAATATATGTACACAGAAATATATGTGTAAAATACATCTGTGTATTTGTCTATGCACACATGTATGTATGTGTGACTCCTGGTTTTTTTGCTCCCTCTGATAAGTTTTATAAGCTGTGGTAAAAGGTTCTTTTTTGTAGAATTCAGGAAGAAGAATGGGATAAATACATCATACCTGCCAAATCAGAATCTGAAAAATACAAAGTGAGCCGAACTTTTAGCTTCCTCATGAACAGGATGACCAGTCCTCGGAATAAATCGAAGGTAATTCAGGTTTTATGCCTACCATCTATAAAGCATGAACGGTTCAGTTTTTGAGCAATTAGTATAGTTTGCACTTTCCCTTTAAATTCACTTACCATAGATTTTATACACGCATGTTTAAACACCTCTGTATTTCTTGTGGGGTATTTTCCAAGGCATTGGAAATACAGGGACCACTTCATCCTGGTAGATGTTACATTTTGGCATTATCGTATCTCTCGATGTGCGGCCCTTCTATCCTTATAGAACACGTAAAGACTTTGTATGACTTCTGTAAGTTGGCTGGCTCTGAGCATTTCTCTTTTCTTGTTTTTTTCCCACTTTGCTGCTGCTGCCATACCTGAAGACAAAAGGCAAGGATGCCAAAGACAAAGAGAAACTGACTCGACATCAGTTTGTCCCTGGAACTTTCTCTGGGGTTCTGCAGTGCTTGGTTTGTGATAAAACGCTCCTGGGGAAAGAGTCATTCCAGTGTTCCAGTAAGTTCCTGGGCCCCACGTGTGCTGTCTTCATGCTTGGCCTCCCCCGAGAGTAAACATCCTGAGAGTAGTGCCGTTGCTCAGCGTGTTCACGTAGACTTCTGTTTTTGGGTCTGCGTGCGGTTTCATTAGCAAGCAATGACCCGTGATGGCTGACCCCATACTTTTTGTCCACATGTGATGTGAAATGTGAAGTTGCTCAGTTGTGTCCGACTCCTTGCGACCTCGTGAATTGTAGCCCACCAGGCTCCTCTGTCCATGGGATTTTCCAGGCAAGAATACTGGAGTGGGTTGCCATTTCCTTCTCCAGGGGATCTTCCCGACCCAGGGATCAAACCTGGGTCTCCCACATTGCAGGCAGACACTTCACCCTCTGAGCCACCAGGGAAGCCATAGTCTCTCCCAAAACAGGCTTGCATGCCTCACTGCCTACTGTCGTCTCCACTTGGAAGTCTAAACAGTGTCACACATGTTACATGTCCCCGATGGAGCTTCTCTCACTCCCCTCTGTGCCCGCCTGCAAGCTGACCCTCTCAGTTAATGGCAGTCCCATCCTTCCAGCCAAATGCTTGTGCCAAAATTATTCCCACATCCAAGCCTTTAACATTACTCTTGGCTCTAGCTTCAAAATATAGTAATATTTAGAGCTAACCACTTCTCACACCTGCCACTGTTAGCAGCTTGGTCTAAAGCTGCCATCTCAGTGGCTTTGCAACTGGTTCCCTTGTGCATTTACTGCAAAAAGTATGATTCCCAAAACCTCAGTCTGAGTGCGTTTGTCAAGGCATTTATCCCTGTGTTCCAGCTCCTCTTGATGGCTTCCTGTCATCCCCTAGGACAGCCAGAGCCCTGACAGTGGCTCCAAGGCCCCCGTGGTCTCCCCACGCCTCTGGTTCGTTCCCTGTGGCATCTTCGCTGATCTTCCAGCAGGCCAGGCTCCAGGCACACTCATGCCTGTGGGCTCTCCCGCATAGCCCCCTGCCTTCAGCAGTCTTGCCACAGTCAGCTGAGTGGTTCGCCCGCTCACCTCCTTCAGGTCTGCTCAGATAGCTCCCCTTAGTTAGGCCTTTCCTGACCACCCTTTGCTTGGCTTACTTCCTGTCTCCCTTTCCTCTTTCTCATCCCACTATAGCATTTAACATCATCTAACTTGCTCTCTATTCTCTGTATCAATTTTATTATCCGTCTCCTTCACCAGATTATAAATTCTACCATGGGTGGGTTTTTGTCTGTTGATTTTATCCTCTGCTATGTCTGTAGTGCCTGGAATAATGCTTGTGCATAGTAGGGGCTTAGTAAATGTTTGTGGGATGAAAGAATAACTCAGTGCAAGAGAATTCAGGCCCAGGCAGATGAAATGCATTTTGTGGTATTTGTGGTATTTGGTGACCAGAATTCAGGGAACATTTTGGAAGTGGCATGGGAGTACAAAGGGAGGTGAAGAGCAGGGGAAGATGATATGTAAAGTTCTTCATTAAATTCCCAGAAAACGATTAAAAATGTGACTGTATGCATTCACGCATTGTCTTTAAGATGCCAGTTTCATTGCATGTTTGAATGTTGCTTTCCCTGGGGACTTGATTTCTTTCTTTTATGGGACCTGATGTAGCATCAAGCAAAAAGAATAAAACTACTCTAAAAAATAAAATCTGTTCATTTAAAAAATAGCATCAAGCAGTCTAGCTGTGATTTATTTTGCTAAATTTTTAGAAAGGTTGTGAAAAGGATTGTTTCTGGATTATTAATGGCTTGACTCCATGACTTCCCTGGTGGCTTAGATGGTAAAGCGTCTACCTATGATGTGGGAGACCTGGGTTCAATCCCTGGGTTGGGAACATCTCCTGGAGAAGGAGATGGCAACCCACTCCAGTAGTCTTGCCTGGAAAAGCCCGTGGATGGAGGAACCTGGTAGGCTGCAGCTCGTGGGGTCGCAAAGAGTCGACACGACTGAGCGACTTCACTTCCCTGCACTTGCATGTCAGCAGTCAGGTTACTGGCGTGATGGCACATGCTTCATAGGTTGTGACTCCTTTCTTGTTCACAGGGTCAGATCCCTTCATCTGACCTCCAGCCATATCTCTGACCTATTTGTCCTTGCACTTTTTTTTTTATTAATTAAAAAAATTTGAGATTTATTGATCTACATATTTTTGGCTGCACTGGCTCTTCATTGCTGGGTGCGGGCTTTCTCTAGTTGCGATGAGTGGGAGGCTACCCTTCACTGCAGTGCACAGGCTGCTTTTTGTGGTGACTTCTCTTGTTGCTGAGCATGGGCTCTAGGGTGAGCAGGCTTCAGTAGTTGTGCCTTGCGGGCTCCAGAGCGCTGGTTCAGTAGTTGGAATCACAGACTTAGTTGCTCCACAGCATGTGGGATCTTGCCGAACCAGGAATCAAACCCATGTCCCCTGCACTGGCAGGTGGTTCTTAACCGCTGGATCACCAGGGAAGCCTTCCCCTGGTTTTTAGATGAACTCCTCAAGTTGGGCGGCCTCCACCCACTGCTCCGGTGTCTATTCCTGCCACTTCTTCCTTCATGATCTGATTTTGACCTCTGTCCCTACTGCTTAACAGAAGTCGTCTTCTGGATGGAAGCATGGAGTCACTTTCTAGTCAGGTCTGAGCATCTTGCCTCGTTACTGTTCTCAGACTCACTGCCCTCTCTCCTGTTTCCACGTCTGTTGTCCTTTCATGCAGAAAGATGTCCTCTTTTCCAGAGCACACTGCTTTCTGTTTGTCCCCTGGATGGTCTCCTTTGCCCTGACTTTGAGTGCCCTCCAAACTTGGTTCTCAGGCACTGGTTCCTTTCTCTTTATTGTTTCTAAGTGTAGGCACCCAGTCTTTTGTTCTAAAATACGGTATTTAGACCTGCTCTTCCCAGATGAACATCTTTGTACCTCACTTGCTACTCCGGTTGCCTAGGGAGGCTGAGCCCCCGTGTAACTTGTGGCCCTGTTTGAGCATTATGGCAGGGCCACCATATAAAACAATACTGTCCCCATCACACCCCGTCTGTGGGCATCAGCGTACAGAGATTGTCTCCCAGACCAAGGTGTCTGAAACTGACCTGACCGTCCACCTGCAGAAGGCACTTCTTCCTGCTGGGTTTGTGATGCCAGCTGGAAACGTGGGCATGTTCGTCTCAGCTTCTCTTCTGGCATCCTGGTCTGTGCGGTCCCTCTTTCATCTCCTTTCTCACGGTTCCTGCTCTGGTAGCTTCTCATCAGCACTTCTGGACTGTTCAGAGCAAACTGTGCTAGCTTCCCCTCTTTCCAGTTACTTTCTCACCATCTTCATCTTCATGAAGTGCTGCTTTCATCCACACGTGTACACTTGAAGACTTTTGTGTTTTTTTTTTGGTTTACTGGACTAAGCCGAGGTTCTTCAGATGTGTATTCGGTTCTGCCTGTGATTATTACTATGTCTAATCTTAAAAACACAATATGATATAAACAAATAATATAAACATTCAAAATCTTGTGGTGTCTGTATTCTTTATGAAAGCCTGACTTGCTAGTTTTCCACAAATATTTCTATAAAATTCTCCTTGTTTATAAATAGACTTCACTACTTACATTTTGATGTTACATGATTTGATGCACAGTTTTACTAATCATAGCTTCACTGCAAATTTAGCTTTCATAAACTTAAAATTACCCTAATGCACTTAAATGCCTTTTATAAGAATTTTACATTGTCTAAAATTGATATTCTTATTGACTTCCTTTTTGTTTGTATTCCTCTTAACTATTTCTGTGTTTTTAATTTGAGGTGTGTGTTTTTAATTTAGCTATAGGTAATTGTGATGTAACTGAGAGAACTTGTTTTATATTAAGTATTTTTTCCTTATTTACATTTAATTTTACAACCGTCCACTCTTTCATAGTTCTTCGCTGTTTTCCTTGATGTCTGGTTTAGACCATATATTATTGGCTTTTATCTTCTCCAACGACTTGGCAAGGTAGACTCTTTTAATATTTACTGATGATAAATAATAATAAAGAGATGTAGAAGGCTTATAATTTAATACTCTTATTTCTCTTATAATTACTCTCCCCCACCCCAGCCTCTATGAGTATACTGAATTAATTATTAATATTTTTATAATGTATGTTTCATCTTTCAGGAATAATTTGATATTCCAATAATAATTTGCTATTTGTACTCAGTTCTGTGTCTCTACTGACAGTAACTTTTAAGATGCAGTACTTTAGTTTGGTTTAAGTACTCATTTTTGCTGTATTTTTCCTTCAGTAAAGCTGATCCATTCTTGACTCTTAATTTTCATTCTATTTTTAATAGGCAATAGGATTTCAGGTAATTTTTTCCCCAAGAAGTTTATTGGAATAACCTGTTTTCTGAAATCTTGTGTATCTTTGTTTCACACAGTAGCCAGTTTTATCTGAGTGAATAAATTCGTCAACCAAACCTTTTCCGCTGAAGAGTCTACCAATACTGGTCCCTTATATCTAGGCAGTTAGTACTATACTGAGAACTTTTTTTTTTTAAGAGGGCTTTTAATTTTTTAATCATACAGATATTGTCAGAATGTGTCTGTTAGAATAGGTGGCATTTAATGGTTTTTTCCTAGAAAACAGTAAGACTTTTTAATTTGCCTTTTTTTGGTTCTTTTCAGGCCTTATAAAAGTTTTTGTCAGTTGTAGCTGTCAGTTGTCACTTTTGGTCTCACCTTTTTGATTTCTTCCTTGGAGAAATGTGATCTGTTGTCTGTCATCTTTGTATGACATCTTTTGTTTGATAATTATATGCTGTATTTTCTCCACGTTCTGGGGAGAATCTTTCAAGTTTAATTTTGTAGTACTGCTTTGATACTGTGTCATGTCGATTCTTCTCAATTTAGCTTCAGTTCCACTCTTGCTCTTTTTCTTCCTTGAAGTGCTTTCTTGTCCCTCAAAGCTCCATTTGCCTGTCATCCTGTTGGCCTGTGGTCACATCCTGTACTCCCTACATGGCCTTTGGTCTGTTCTGTGTGTCTCGGGGAGGGCACACTTCACACATCTAAATGTGTCTTCTTTTTTCTGGATTTTGGCCTATTGGGTGGCTCCCTCTTGCTGTGAATTTTCAGTATAACCTGGCCTGGTGGTCTCTCCCAGCCTCCACTTCTTCCCGCCTCATTGTCTTGTCCTGCGGTGAGGAGGAAGCTGTCCCACTTCAGCGTTTGCCTGCAGGACCAGCACGTGGACAGCCTGGCTTCTGCTCCTTGGCCACTGAGGCGTTGACTGGATGCCTCTGAAGACCTGCGGGGAGGAGGACTGTGGGCGAGGTGGCTGCTCAGTTCCCACAGGCCACAGCTGCTGTCCAGTTTGGCTTGGACAGAATTCAATGAGAACTTCCCCCCTTACAGGAGGATTTTGCTCGTGAAGTTTCTGATAAACCACAGGCTCCTCCGTCTACACACAGCGTGTAGGGATGGGAGTGGATAGGATGAGGGCGTCTTGGTGGGGCAGGTGGAGTGGGAGGGGGAAGAGGGCAGGAAGACATCAGTCTGACAGGAAGCTGTCCCCAAGCGGGGAGGTCTGAGCCTCGCCTGTGGGCAGGAGGTAGTCCCGTCCTTCTTTCAGCGAGATGAGGCCACATTGTTTCATGAAATAAAACTTAGGCAAGCTGCTAACTGTTCTCTTTTAATTTGGTTTCCTCTAATTAGTAGGAATTCTCTCAGAGCCTGACAGTACATTTTTTTTTCTAGCATTGTTGTACGTTTTCCTTTCTTTCCATCCTCAAAGGCATTTTCCCCAGTGTGTAAGCGGGCAGTTGCCAGATGTAAGAAGTCCCTGATTAATAAAGGGTGCAGAGTACTACATGAGTTCTCAGGCAGAAACAAAAGTGTGTGTCATGCATAATTTCCGCTGTCGTAATCAGTAAGACCCTATACAGAAGGGGGAAAATATCTCCAAGGAAATTAAAATATCAACAGTGTGTTCTGCTCCAGTGGTGGGACAATAATGTGATTTAAACATTTTTTCTTTCTTTTTTAAGTTTTCTAAATAGTTTTAATGTTTACATGTTATTTTTATTGTTGTTGTTCAGTCGCTAAGTCATGTCCGACTCTTTGTGATCCCATGGACTGCAGCACACCAGGCTTCCCTGTCCTTTTCTATCTCCTAGAGCTTGCTCAAACCCATGTCCATCGAGTCGGTGATGCCATCTAACCTTCTCATCCTCTGTCGTCCCCTTCTCCTCCTGCCCTCAGTCTTTCCCAGCATCAGGGTCTTTTCCAATGAATTGGCTCTTTATATCAGGTGGCCAGAGTATTGGAGTTTCAGTTTCAGTATCAGTCCTTCCAGTGAATAGTCAGAGCTGATTTTCTTTAGGATTGACTGGCTTGATCTCCTTGATGTCCAAGGATTTTTATTTTTATAATGATCCTTAAAGGCATGATGTAGTCTTATCCTTTTCACTTTGCAGATTAATTTAAGTAAGATGGAAATTTTTCTCTCTTTTCCTTTTGTTCCAGACTGTAATGGAAATGTACATAAAGTCTGTAAAGATGCTGCCCCTCCGTGTACCAAGGTAAACGTCTCAGTCATGTATGGATATCACATGCTTGTATGTAGCTCGCTGCTTCAATGTTGCCTGTTTATGTTTTTAGATCTACTAACTATTACTGTCTCAATTTATTTTTAAAGTGGTCATTGTAGTGATAAAACAACACACGCTCAAAGTGTATACTTATTGACTTAACTATGCACTTGTAGAAGCAGAGGGAACGTTTTGTTTTTATTACATGATATGGGTGGGTTAGACTTTCTGTCAGGACCTACTTGGTTTACCATTGCAAACCATGCGAGTATGGAAATGAAGTTTAGAGCAGTAATTCTCAAATGCCAGCCAACATCAGTCACCTGGAGGGCCTGTTAAAACACAGATTTCTGGGCCCCGCTCCCAGAATTCCTGATGCAGGAGGTCTAGGTGGGGGTTCTGAGAATTTGCATTTCGGATGTGTTTCCAGGTGATGCTACTGGTCCCCAAACCATGCTGTGAGGTGTGCTGGACCAAACATTGAGGAACTTTCTCAGTGTCTGGGCTTGGGCTTGAGTAGATAGAGGGGTTTATCATCATGTTCCTTTGTCTCCCACTGGAAACCCAGGCAGAAATGCTCACATGAGTGAGCACAAGGACCCTTTAGAGGGAAACGTGTGTCTCCACCTCTGTGTTATTTGAAACACACATTGTATCAGGTCACAAAGTTGAGGGTAACATTTCAGTGCTCAAGGTCCTTGTGTCCTGTAGGTGGGAAGAATAGTCAGGAACAGAAAGAACAACTAGGAGAGAGAGCACTGCTATGAGCTCCTCTCTGAGCCTAGGTTGGAACACAGGAGCTGGAGATTTTTGGTTCCCTCAGGCTTTTACTAAAGCTGGGCTCTTGCTGAGACCTGTTCTTGAGGCCCACTTCCCTTACAATGTGCACATCTCATTGTCATAACACTTTTCTCTTTGTTGCGTTTTACGTCTTTTGCTTTGAATTCCTTTTTGTTTGAAATAAAATAACATGAAAATGGCAAAGATAAGAAGCCTGTTCTGTTAACAGTGGACCTTCTTGTAATCGAGTGGTGCTTTGATCTTTCTTTTTGTGTTTCTAATGTTCTTTACAGAAATTCCAAGAGAAATATAATAAGAACAAACCACAGACCATCCTTGGAAGTAAGTGATATGAAAAATGGCAAGAACTTTTTTCCATTTCATACATAACACACATTTTCCCCCTCTTTCAGTTCTCTCATTTGCCCAATTATTCTTTCTTTCATAGCATATGCTGGGCATGTTGTGGTTTAGTCACTAAGTTGTGTCCGATTCTCTTGTGACCCCGTGGAAGGTAGCCTGATAGGATCCTCTGTCCATGGGATTTCCCAGGCAAGAATACTGGAGTAGGTTGCCATTTCCTTTTCCAGGGGATCTTCCCAACACAGGGATTGAACTTGAGTCTCCTGCATTGGCAGGTAGGTTCTTTATTCTGAGCCACCAGGGAAGCCTCATGCTGGGCATAATTGGCATAATTTTTCTTGACAAAGAAGGCAAGAATGGCAGAAGCTCTGGAAACTTAGTAGCTTTTGTGCTACATATACTATATGATCTTTTATATTAGGGAAGGCTGAATGGAGGTGGTATTATGATGTTGCCTCAATTTTAAGATGCAAATTAGTGTTATAGGCACTATTGATAACAGCTCTTGCGGGAAAAGATAAACACCATATTGAAGTGAAGTGAAGTGAAAGTTGTTCAGTTGCGTCTGACTCTTTGCAACCCCATGTCCATGGAATTCTCCAAGCCAGAATACTGGAGTGGGTAGCCGTTCCCTTCTCCAGGCGATATTCCCAACCCAGGGATTGAACCCAGGTCTCCCACATTGTGGGCAGATTCTCTATCAACTGAGCCACCAGGGAAACCCAAGAATACTGGAGTGGGTAGCCTCTCCAGTGGATCTTCCCAACCCAGAAATCGAACCAGGGCCTCCTGCCTTGCAGGTGGGTTCTTTACCAGCTGAGCTACCAGGGAAGCCCGAACACTACATTAAATGTACATAATTTTATGTTTTCCTAGCAGTAGCACATATTTATCTTGACCAATACCTAATACATGCTTCTTAAGAATCACAAGATTAGGATAAAGTCCTCAAGTTGAGAATTTATAGATTCTTATCAGTCTCTGTTATTCATTATCAGAGCAACCTGGTACTTTTTAGTAGCCAGCCTGAGGCTGTGATTGCATCAGCTCCATTAGAATGACAGTTGAAATTTCAGGGTATACCTGTGTTTTGTTTGCATGTGGCTAAACTCAGTGATTCTGTTTTTTTGTGAATTATACATGGTTGAAATGGGAGTAATTGTCAGCCTTTGACAGTCTTTACATTGCATGCAAGAACCAGACAGACCATTGTCCTAAGTTTGAAAATCCTTTGACTTGATGTGAGAGATCTCACAGTTTCTTCACATATTACATAGCTTGCCCTGTGGCAGGCACTTTACGTTTGTGGTCACTTTTCACTTCAGTGCTACAACAGTGTGATCAGTGTTTTAAAAGCCATTTGAGTCAGGGTTGTTAGGGAAGTATGCAAATTGATGGCAGCGTGTGATTGCATGTGATGTTACATGAGGGAAAGCTAGTGCAGGCAAGTGCGACATTGGTCACAGCCCTGCTTCTTCACCAGAAGTCCCTTTGACCTCAGCTGGAAGACACTCCTCAAATTCATAAGGTTAAGCATGAAAATAATTAAAAAGCATTTTAGACTTGATAGAATACCATCTGTTCCTTCTCTTAACTTAGGAGTCGTGAGAATAAAATTAAATCATACATGCGTAGGATCCTTTGTAATGTCTTAGGTTTCCATATAAGTCTTTTTCCCCCTTTACTTGAGAAAGGTGTGCGCTAAGCGATCATAAGGATTGAAATATTTTCGGAGAGTCACTTTTAATACACATCAAATGCAAATATGTAGATGCCCATAACATTTTAAACTGACTGGAAAGGTACTGAAGCATCATTTCATTTTTTCTGTGTGAGAGAGGAGCCCAGCTTGGCTTGCAGGTTTCATCTGCCTGACATTCTTAGAGCATAAAGAACAGAGTCCCCTGCATCGTCCCAAGCCATTGCCATGCTGTATGCGTGTGTGTGTCTGCCTGTTTACATACACGATGTGCATTCTAGTAGTAGCTAATAGCACCTTGTGTTTGTTTACAGCTGGCTCTGAGGCGTACAAGCAGCATTTTATGGGCAAGCCGTCCCAGTGTTTCCCCATTCCATCTTCTTGTTTGTTTGTGTAGTCCCAGCCGCCCCCAGTTTCTCCACGTGGATATGCTGAAGCAGGCCTGCAGCCTGGTTCCAGGAGAGTGTGAGCTGGAAGGGACGCTTGAAGCAGGTGTTGGGATGTGTCCAGGAAACTGGCTTCAAGGCTGGGCTTGTAACGTGTTAGAAGCTGCCACTGGAGTGTTCAGCTTTCTGGCTTTTAAGCGACTACCCTTACTCGTTGCCCGCTTTGGAAACATCATGAAGTGTCTGTTCTGATTTCCAGATTCTTCGTTTCGAGACGTCCCACCGCCTGGGCTCTCCTTGCACCCTTCCTCCTCCATGCCTATCGGCTTGCCAACGGGGAGGAAGGAAGTGGCCGGGCAAGTGCATCCCTTGTCCAGAAGCGTCCCGGGCCCCACCGTGGAAAGGTAAGGCTCGCTGTGGCGTGACGCCTTGCTGTCCCAGCGTGGCAGCCCCGGCTGACTGTCCTCCCTGCCCCTCCAGCTTCAGGAGGCCGGGGGCATCCTTGGACTCCGAGAATGACGGCAGCGCCTGGAGAAGCAGGTCTCACTCTGACGAGCTGTTCCAGCCCATGGGCTCATCCCCCTCCACGGACTCCTTCTTAACGGAAGGTGAGGAGAAGACAGCCTTGCACTGACATGGGTTTCTGTGAGCGTTTGCTGAAAGGGATGTTTTCTGAAGGACGTAAGATGGAAGCATTTTTCTTTTATTCTGTTTAAGAGGATTCTGTTCCATGGTGTCTCTTTGGTGCAGGTTCTTCTGATAAAAACAACACTGAGCCCAAGAGGACACTCCCAGATAGTGACCAAGGGGACATGATGTATTTTTTAAGGGGACATACTCCCCAAAGAATGTGTCATAAACATGAAGAGAAGGAAATGTGTTGTGTGCTTGCTGGTTTTTAAAATTTTTTTTACAGCTGTTGATGAATTGGAATAGGATCATACTTTAAAATATATATATGTATATTTCAGTTACTTAAGACTGGACTTGTCTGGATCTCTAAGATATTTATCCCCTTGTGTTGCCTCCTACTTCTGGGGGAATAAAAGCATTTTTAAAAAACATGTTTTTGGAGAGGACAGTCTGGGGAATTGCTTGCTGTATCCAAGCTGTATTAATAGGCAGAGGAAAACCAAATGAGGGGAGAGGAGTGATGAGAGAAAGGAGTAGACTCTTCCCCATATATCTGCTTATTTTAAATCCATTGTCATCACGTCTATACTTCTCTGAGCTAGATTCTCTCTAAGGGGTGCTGTTTGGACAAATGTTTTCCTGAAGGGGGTATGTGTGTGTTGTCAGATTCTGTCAGAAAAATCTGCACTCACATGTGACTCAAGGCCTCGTACCCTGCTTCGTGTTTGTATTGAGGACAGCAAGGCAAGTAAAGAGCAAACCAAGTGGACAAGCACAAGATTCAGTGCAGAGTAACGTGGGGCAAAGAAATCAGTGACTTCAAAATTGTGTGAGCACATTGTGGACTCTGCAGGTTACCAAAAATAAAACTAAAATAGGACAAGCCAAACAAACGAAAGAATCTTCGTGTGTGTGTGTGTGTGTGTGCACAGTCACTGTTAATACCTGATTCTGCTCTGCTTTTCATGAGCAATCTGAACCCTTTCACTAGCTTGTTGGTTTCTGTTGTTTCACTTCTGTATCACAGTATTTTGGCTTCACTGTTTCTATGTTCATAACAAGTTTCTTCAGGGTGATGAATCCATAAACACAGGCCCTTGTGAAGGTCTGTTTGTGATATATGTGTTCACCCACTTTAGTTTTTCTTTTCTTAACGGATGTTAGATGTCGTGGATTCATGTCTGTGGAGTGACCTCAGCAGTGATGCCCAGGAGTTTGAAGCGGAATCTTGGAGTCTGGTGGTGGACCCTTCATTTTGTAGTCGGCAGGAGAAGGATGTCATCCAAAGACAGGATGTCATTTTTGGTAAGCACTGAAAACATGGTCTCTGGGCTGCGGCAGTGTGGTGCAGAGAAGAGAGCATGGATTCAAGCTGGAGTTCAAATTCTGGTTCTACCATTTCCTAGTCACTTAGTCTCAGATATAATATTAACTCACCTGAAACTCAAAATCCTTTTGTAAAATGGGGATAATGAGGCTCAGGATCAAAATGTTGTGAGGCTTAAAGGAGGCATTGTACATGCTTGGTACAAAGCAGATTTGATTTCTTCTATACTTTTCAAGTTGACTTAGGCCTGGTCTCTACTCGTTTACCTCTTCTGTTACAAGAATCACAGTGAATGCTAACATATTTTAAGGTGGGACAGTCAAGGCCCCTGAATATACAGCCTTGTGGTTTGCCTGCACACACCAGGGACTGTCACTCACGGAGACGCAGTGGGACTGGCAACACTTGGACTAGTATCACGTGTGACCATGAGTGGCAGTGCTGAGTATGGGGTTCAGCTGTGGGACGTTTTATGACTTCATGCTGTTTGGGGTGAAGGCAGTCTGAATTAGGGAAGGTTAGATGATAGAGTAGTTAGGAAAAAATGAAGTTTAAAAAATTTTCAAGTACAAAGTAGATGCTGAAAAGTGGTTCCAGGAAGGCACCTTAACTTTAAATATGAGCCTAGCGCTTAGTTTTCACTAATCCTGTGTGTGCAAAGCACCACGAAGTCCAGTAGTGACCAGGCCCCTTCTCCCCTGTGTGAGGCGGTTATGCAGGTCAGATGAGCCGCTGTCTGTACATGCTGTGAAATCAGTCTCGAGCTGTGTAGGAGGGAATTTCTTTGGAAAGGGTGGTGCTGTCCCCTTTAGTACTTCCCATGCAATTTGTTATATTGTAATTTTCTTCTTTTATTTCTTGATTTCATATATTATTAAAAATAGTCTAACCTATTTGGGGTGAATTATCATGTAGTGTGGTTCAGAGCATGGGCCTTTGGGCCAAAAAGTCTTTTGTTTCAGGGAAAATCATTTACCCTCTTTTCTTCATTGGCTTTTAAAGATAAGAAAATCATTCTTATATTTGGGGTCATAATGGATTAATGGATTAAATGAAGCGACATGGTAGATAGTTAGTACAGAGTAGGTGTTACAAATGTGGTAGGATACAATAATAATAATAATAAATTAGTGGGTTCACAATTAAAGGGAGTTTTGTTTATGATAAAATAATAAACAAAGCCACATTTCGATTTGTTTCCCTCCATGGCTGATATTTTGTATTCTTTTTTAAAACCTGTATGTAGGTTTGGAAATACTCATTAATCTAGAACCAGGACTTCTGATGCTCTTAGTAATGGTGAATTATTCTCTCATGGTGTATTTTTAAAATTGAAATATCACAAAAATTGAGATCTAAAACTCACCCCTAAAAAAAAAAAATAAAACTCACCCCTTTACAGTGTACAAATCTATATTATAGTATACTTGTAACCTTTTAATATATTTATAAAGTTGTGCAACCACCCACCACTGTCTAATTCCAGAGCAGTTCCGTACTCCAGAAAGAAACCCTGTGCCCAGGAGCAGCCATTCCTCTTTGCACCCTCCCACCAGCACCTGGAAGCCACTCATCTATTTTCTGTCCCTATGAATTTGTCTGTTCTGGACATATGGTGTAAATGGTACAATATTTAGGTTTTGGGGCCTGGCAGCTTTCACTTACACTGTTTTCAGGGTTCATCCATGCTACACTATAATTCAGCACTCTGTCCCTTTTTGTGGTTGAGTGACAGTTGATTGTACAGAGATGCCACACTTTGTTCTTCTCATCAGGACTTGATGGTCGTTTGGGATTGTTGCCAATTTGGGGGTCGCATGGTAACTTTATGTTTAGCCTTTTGAAGAACTGTTTTGCAAAGCAGCTATAACATTTTACATTCACACCAGTGATGTATGAGGGCTTTGATTTCTCCATATCCTTACCAAGGCTTCTTTATTGTTCATCCTTTAAATCACAATTATTGTAGTATATGTAATGTGGTGTCTCATGGTAGTTTTGATTTATGTTTCCCTGATGGCTAATGATGTTGCTCGTGTTTTCGTTTGCTCATTGGCTATTAGTATATCTCTTTAGACAAACTTCTATTCAGATCTTTTGCCTATTTTGAACTGTTGTGTTTTTTTTTATTGTTGAGTTAAAAGAGTACTTTATGTATTCTGGCCTCGGGTCCCTTATCAAATACATGATTTGCAGTTATTTTCTCCTGTTACATGGATTGTTGTTTTCACTTTCTTGATGATGTCCCTTGATCATAACACATTGGTTTCTCTTGGAGAAAGTAGAACTTTGGAGACAGATTCAGTAATGGAAAGGACCTACTGTTGTATGCATTGAAGAACTTTATTGTGTTTAATTCAGTGTAATTCACCAAGCAAATTGTGCTCCTCAGTTCAGTTCAGTCGCTCAGTCGTATCCGACCCTTTGCTATCCCATGGACCGCAGCACGCCAGGCCTCGCTGTCCATCACCAGCTCCTGGAGCTTACTCACACTCAGGTCCATTGAGTCAGTGACGCCATCCAACCATCTCATCCTCTGTCGTCCGCTTCTCCTCTTGCCTTCAATCTTTCCCAGCATCAGGGTCTTTTCAAATTGTGCTCCTACTCAATGCAAAAAAAAAAAAAAAAAAAGAGGTAAACTAAGTTATATTTTATGGAGTATTCAGGACAAAATAAAACCTGGTTCCCAGCTGAAGTACCTGAAGATGTTAGCTGGTTATATTATGAAAGTTTGATACATTGGATTCTGTATATATTGGACTTAACTTTTACATACCCTCTTATAATATCAGGAAGAAGAGAATAATTTTGAGCTTACATTAAAGATTTAGTCAATGCTGATTTAATAGTAGAAGAGTATTGTTATTCCTAAACCTTCCCTCTTTTTTATTTGTGTAATATACAGTGTTAAGCTACAAATGTAGGTCAATAGGGATACTTTTGAAAAAAGTTGAGGTCTGACTGACATATGACATTATGTTAGTTTCATGACAACTTAATGGTATTTGTATATATATTGCAAAATGATCACCACAGTAAATCTAGTTAACCTCCAGGGATACTTGTTTTAAACCTTGTTTCTGTTCACCTGTTCCAGAGCTAATGCAGACAGAAATGCATCACATCCAGACCCTTTTCATCATGTCTGAGATCTTCAGGAAAGGGATGAAAGAGGAGCTGCAGCTGGACCACAGCACTGTGGACAAAATCTTCCCCTGTTTAGATGAGTTACTTGAAATCCACAAGCATTTCTTCTATAGTATGAAGGAGCGAAGGCAGGAATCCTGTGTTGGCAATGACAGGAATTTCATCATCAACCGAATTGGAGATATTCTAGTACAACAGGTGAGAAAGGTTTGAAAGTCTCAAAATCTCAAAGCCTAAAGGTACAGACTCTCTCGTGTTCAAGCCTGCAGGGAACTGAAATGGATTTCATTACGATTATTGACAGTTGGTTTTCTTTTATTTGACGCTGGAGTGTGTTACTGATGTCTGAGAGCTTTTAACAGCCAGTGAATGGCTCTTCTGTGTTGCAGGATACCTGGATCATCCATCTGTCTATCATTGTCTCCAGCTGGAGGCACAGCCACAAATGAATTCCTTATGAAAATTCACTTCTTGATGTGATGGGCTGTCTAATAACATGCCTCTCCCATTGGCCCTTGATCGTCTCATCAGTATTTGCAAAATAAGCATTGCCTAATTTTAGGAGTGAGGCAGATCTATTATCATGAGAGCCCTGGAGTTCATGCCTGATAGATAAGCAAATTTCACTAGAAGGAGGCACTTTTTAGGTGCTTGGGATGTTTGAGGCATCAATGAGAATAGGCTGTGCCACTCATCTGTAAAAAAACAATGTATTATTGGCAATTTGTATTGGCCCCCGATCTCTCTGAAAGAAGCTCTCCATTTAAAACATGCTAATGCGTGCGTGCGTTCTCAGTCATATCTAACTCTTTGTGACCCTATGGACAGTAGCCTGCCAGGCTCCTCTGTCCATGGAATTTTCCAGGCAAGAATACTGGAGTGGGTTGCCATTTCCTCCTCCAGGGAACCTTCTCCAACCAGGGATCAAACCGCATCTCCTGTGCCTCCTGCATTGCAGATAGATTCTTTACCGCGGAGCCACTGGGGGAAGCCCCAGAACATGCTAATACAAAAATTAAATAACATGCATCCAGCAGCCTTAATATGGCAGGGACTTTTAAGGTACTTCCACTATATTACCTCACCTAATCTCCACTATACAGTGAGGTAAATATTATTTTCCCTAAAACTGAAGTATGGAGAAGTAATGACTTTCCCAAGTTCACACATCTTGTTAAATGACATAGCTGGGGTTTAAGTTAAGAATATGTTATTTTGAGATACCATGGGAACATGCTGGGGAAGCTTGCTACCATCACTAGTCTTTAAGTCCCAGTATGGTAGAGAGGCTCATCTATTTGGTTACTAATCTATTTCAATACCTAGAACAGTGCTGGGTACTATAAATATTTATTGAATGAATGGGCCTGCAATGCAGGAGACCCAGGTTCGATTCCTGGCTCGGGAAGATCCCCTGGAGAAGGAAATGGCAGCCCACTCCAGTATTCTTGCCTGGACAATCCCATGGACAGAGGAGCCTGGCAGGCTTCGGCCCATGGGGTTGCAAGAATCAGGTACAATTTAGCAACTAAACCACCACCATGGATTGCTTGGGAAAAACACACCAGGTATTCACTCCAGGGCTATGTTTTGTAGTCGCTTAAAGCAGTTGAGGAAAGGCATGGAGATCTCTCACTAGTTACTTTAGTTTGGCTTTCTCTAAGTAGATGCCAAAATGTCATGTTCAGAATATTAATTTTATATCAGTTTCACCCTGTCACAGACACCAAAGGAATTTAGTTGTTGGTCTATAGACTAAACATTTAAATATACTTAAATACAAATATTTGTAATACACAAAAAGAAAAAAAAAAATCCTGATAATTGCCCCAGATCTTTTCCCCCATGTCTCACTGTGTAAAATTCTACACTAGTGTTAAGTTTCTAATCAAAGTGCTGAATGTTTTGCATCTAATCTTTAAAGTCCTCGACCTGCACTATCTTCATAATTCACCCCAAACATGTACAGTGCCAGGTTAAGAGACAGTAAAAAAGTACTTTGCAAGACAGTTTGAATTAAAATGTCTAATTGTGTCTTTGTGAACTCGAATCTGAGTGCTTTCAAAAATGAAGTGCAAGATTATTTTATCATTTGAAAGTATTTCCATCTATCTTTCTGCCCTTGATACAGTCATGATGTTTAATTCTAATAATTTAAAATATTTTTTTGTTCTTTCATCACTTTCATAGTTGACAGAAGTTTCACATTTCTACCAGTTTTTTATTTAATTTGTGTGGAAATTGAGGACAAGGTTTGGGAAGCTGGCTGTTAGCACAGGGTAAAGCCTGGTGGTCTTTTGGATGAAGCATACACTTTTCCAACCGGGGGAAAATCCTTGGTATTCAGAGAAAGGATTAAGTCTGCTTTTGTGTTCCTGTTCGTGGACACGCTTAGTCGGTGTGGCGGGCTTCCTTCCAATACCGTGTAAATAAAATTGTCTCCTGAACAATATAGTAGCAAAGTCCTCAGACCGTGGCGGTGGGGGTGGCGCGCTGTGGGCACAGAGGGCGTGCAAGCTGCTGAGGGGTGTGTGAGCGGGCCTGGGGAAATCCCATTCCAGTCTTAGACGCCAGGTCTCAGGAGGCCGACTGGAATGTGACGGTAATTTAGTCAGTGGGAACTTGTGTTGGTGAGGAATTCTGAACATGTGGAGTATGGTGGCTATAAAGCAGTGGTTTTCCAATTTCAGGTACGTAGACGTCTCTTAGAGCTTGTTAAGAATGAGGTATCCTGTGTACCTACCGCCTACCTAGTGTGTTGTTTGATAGCACTGGGTCTGGGATTTGGCGTTTTAAAATTATTTTCTGCCAATAATAATCTCATTATGTATCAGCTGAGGTGCTGATAGAGATACAAAAAAATTACAGAATGTTGCTGTCATCATGAAGATTCCTCATCTGGCCATTTTATAGCCATACCTCCTCCTCTCCTGTCTCCAAATGCTGGCCATCACTAATCTGTTCTCTGTCATTTCAATCATGACATATAAATTATATACATGTTATATAGGTTATATACAGAGTATGTCCCTTTTGGGTTGACTGTTTTTCACTCAGCACAATTCTCCCCATCACTCGGATGGCTGTGTGTGAGCTATATGCTGCGGTGTGGATGTGCCGCAGTTTGTTTAATCACTCACTTATTCAGGAGCACCTGGCTATTGCTCGTGTGCTCAGCTGCTAAGTCGTGTCCAACTCCTTGTGACCCCGTGGACTGTAGCCCGCCAGGCTCCTCTGTCCATGGGATTGCCCAGGCAAGAATACTGGAGTGGGTTGCCGTTTCCTCTTCCAGGGGATCTTCTTGATCCAGGGACTGAACCCATGTCTCCTGCATTGGCAACCGATTCTTTATCACTGAACCTTCTGGGAATCCATGCACACATGAGCACATGAACAGTCACATGCAGATTTGTGTGCATATTTAAGTTATCATTTCTCTGGGATCAGTGCCTGGGAGTACAGTTTCTGGGTTGTATGGTTGGTAGTTGCATGTTTAATTTTATAAGAAACTGCCAACTGGTTTTAAGAGTGGGTGTAACATTTTACATTCCTATCAACAATGTACTGGTAATCCAGTTTCTCCACGCCCTCACCAGCATTAAGAATTGTCACTATTTTTCATTTAACTATTCTGAGAGGTGTGTAGTAGTGTCTTGTTGTGGTTTAAATTACATTTCCCCAGTGGCTTATGATGTTGGACATGTTTCATATGCTTACTTGCATATATGTGTATGTCCTCTCTGGTGAAATGTCTGTCCTTGTCTTTTACCCATTTTCTTTTTGGATTGTTTTCTTACTGTTGAACAGTTATTTCTTTATCTATTCCAGATACTAACCTTCAGGCAGATAGGTAGTTTGTGAATATTTTCTCTAAATCTGTAACTTCTGTAATTTTGGTAAACTCCAATATGTCAAGTTTTCACTTTAAGGTTCAGGCTCTTGGTTTCAAGTCTAAGAACTCTTTATCTAGCATGAGATTCCAAAGATTTTTCTCCTATGTTTTTTTTTTCTTCTAGTTTTACATTTTTAAGTTTTATGTTTTACATTTAAGTCTGTGATCCATTTGGAATTAATTTTTGTATAAAATACGAGACTTTGGTCAGATTCTTTTTTATTTTCATCTGTGAATGCTCAGCTGCTCTAATATTATCTGTTAAAGGGGCTATCCATCTTCCAATAAATTGCTTTGCTCTCTGTCAAAATCTGTTGGGCATTTTGGGTTCCTGTTTTGTTCCATTGATGTTTGTGTATCATCCCATAGTGATAGTTAAGACTATATATAATAAATCTTGTTATGTAATAATATATCTAATAATAAGTTATATAATAAATCTTGAAATTGAGTAGACAATTCTTTTACTTGATTATTTTTCAAAATTATTTTTAGCTATTCTGGTTCCTTTATCTTTGGTATAAATTCTAGATTAATCATCTAGATCTCTAAAAACTTGCTAGGTTTATTAAGAATTGCATTAAACCTGTACACTCATTTGAGGAGAAGTGACATTTTTAGTGTGTTGACTCTTCCAGTCTATGAACGTGGTGTATTTATTTAAATATTTGATTTCTTTCATCACCATTGTGTAGTTTTTAGCACACAAGATCTCTGTATGTTTTGTTAGATTTGTAGCAATGTATTCTTGTTGGTGGTTTAAGAATCATCTCCTGAGATGTATTTGCCTCAAACAGATAAAACTATGAGCAACGTTGAAAAGTCTAGAAATAGTGATGAACTTCCTGAGGGGGTGTAGGTATATTTTGGTTTCTCTTGCAGTGACCTTCAACATGGATGTGTATATGTGGGGTGATCAGAGTCTGAAAGACTGGCATTCACATTATTCAGCAAATTCTCTCCATACCAGCTTACGATTCTAAGTGGGTTCCTTTGTAGATTTTTCAACAGATAATTTTCTACAGGTTAAGGTTTTTGAAATACCCGGTCCCTGTTTCTACTTGTGACTATCAGTTAATAAATTTGCCTTCTGGTTACTCCTTTTTCTCTGTCATCTTGGTTAATAATAGCCTGCCTCTTGATCCATTTGTGATGACAAAAATCAAGTTCCTAACTGAGCACTGAGTTCATGGACATGATCAGTTAGCCAATGTAAACGTCAGTTTTCCTGAGGATCACTGAATATGCCCTATACCCTTCCTTCAATCTATAAAAGTATTAAAATTGCAACTTGAAATTATAAAGTTGTGTAAACACACAGAACATAGAAGATAGCAAATGTTTTTCATTTGGCTATTGATAATTGAGTTAGTTCAATATCATATAACCACATATAATCACATATAATCCTCTTACCTATTGATTACTTCCTCTTTCTTTAAAAGGTATCTATGGAAGAGAACTGATTGTGGTCAGAAATTCCAGGAATTTATTCTTTATTTGCAAAGAATGCATTGAAATACATGAAAATTGCATGTTCTTTTTAGTGTTTAAAAGGTGAAAGTGAAGTTGCTCAGTCATGTCCGACTCTTTGTGACCCCATGGACTGTAGCCTACCAGGTTCCTCCGTCCATGGGATTCTCCAGGCAAGAATACTGGAGTGTGGAGTGAGTTGCCATTTCCTTCTCCAGGGGATCTTCCTGACCCAGGGATGGAATCCAGGTCTCTCACATTGCAGACAGACACTTTACCCTCTGAGCCACTTAGAACTGACTGAATTTTCAAACCATCATTGAAATATTATTCTTCTCAGTTTTCAGAGGAAAATGCAAATAAAATGAAGAAAATATATGGGGAATTCTGTAGCCATCACAAAGAGGCTGTTAGCCTCTTTAAAGAACTCCAGCAGAATAAAAAGTTTCAGAATTTTATTAAGGCAAGTATTTTAAAACTCTTACAAAATGGTAAGCCAACATAAAGTTCATGCTTGTTTTTTACATGATCTAAGCAAGTTTCACATCTAGGTACTGTTTTTCAGGGAAGAAGAAAGTGATATGTTTGTGGCAAAGATAGAAGACTGCTTTTTCTGTGTTAGTAAAATATTTCTCCCAAATCATTTACCTTTGTATTTATATTTGTGAAGATGTGTTTTCCATACTTTTGAGCACCTTTGTAGTATCTTATGAAGCTATTTCATGCTGTGACAAGTAATAAGTCAGAAGAGTCACAGTAAAAATAAAGAATCCACTCCAGTGTCTCTGGATTAATTGCAAACAAATCTGTGATGCACCTCATTTCATATATAACTTGTATATCTGAACAATATATATTTAAAAAAATTACAGTGGCGTTATTACACTTAAATAAATAATAATTCTTTAATATCTTCAAAGAATTGGCCAGTATTCAAAATTCCCTGATTATCTCATAAAATTGGATTGCTTAAATTAGGATCTGACCAGGGTTTAGATATTGTATGCAGGGCTTATGTCTTTTAAATTACCTTTAAAATTGAATGTGCCCCACCCCATTTTTTGGTGTCCAACTTATTGAAGGAATTTGTCCCTTAGAGTTTCACAGACTCTAATTTTTGTATCTACAGTTTTAGGAATGCTACCAGATTCTCCTTTTAAAAAAAATACATGTGTATTAAGAACTTGAAATGAAGACTGAGGTTTTTAGAAAAAAGTTGCCCTGATTAGAGGAAACTTTAAGTACTATGATAAAGAACAACAAATGTAGAGGAAAACCTGTTGGGAAAACAAATAGTTAATTGCAAACTCCAAAATATAACTGATTTCTGAGTGTTTTTCAAAATTTTTGCTATTCATGAATCTTAGCACTTTTGGAATTAGCTATATCAGAGTAACTTGAAACTTATTAATTTTGGAGATTTGGGTTGTTGATATTAATTTCAAAGTATTCAATTTAATGAAGATAATGTTTTAATTAATGATCATGCATGTTATGTCTGAATAGAATGATACCATTGCAGATTCTTTGTATTGTTAAATTCCTACCTAAAAAGAAAATACAGGTAATGTTTGTATATATTAAAATATATATGCATATATATTTTAAGCTCCGAAATAGTAATCTTTTGGCTCGACGCCGAGGAATTCCAGAATGCATTCTGCTGGTCACTCAGCGCATCACAAAATACCCTGTTTTGGTGGAAAGGATATTGCAGTACACAAAGGGTGAGTGATTACTTTTGGGATCAACATTTGCCTCTTTCATTAGGTTTAAACATAGCTGAGGTGTTGTAAACATTTATAAATGTTTGTGGCATCTGATTCATAAAGATTGTTCATTATAGAAAAACTGTAAAGCCTTAGGATTTGGGTCCGTTTTGAAAAGTTCTCTTTCATAATGTGACTTGGCCAATAGTCTGAATGCCTCCAAGCAGCCCAAAGCAAGTGGCTTCCTCATACTCTGACCCTGTCTTTCCCATCTCTATTTCCCCCATATCCAAACCTTAATACCTCTTCTTCATCTTCCATTACCCTCCCAGCAGTGATTTTTTAGATTGAGGATGATTTATGAAGGAGCTATTTTTGACCCTGTCAACTCATCAAAGACTAACATCTGGGAATCCTCTGAGACACTGTTAATCCACATGACTGTTCTGTAAGCTCCGTGAGGGGTCATTAGTTCAATAGGTAGTCCTGTGGTTGGTACTAATAGGTTATCAATAATAGAACAGTGCAGTGAATGGATAGGTAAAAGTGCCTGTTCCTCAAGGATCAGGCTTATTGATCATGAGTGAATTATTAGGACGATAGTGTATTATGTTAACAAGGGCTTTTGTTTAACTTTGTGTAAATTTGTGTGGCCATTGCAGATACTTGGCTCTGCCACTCATTAGTTGGGCAAGTTAATGAAATGAGCCTCAGTGTTCTCCACCAAATGAGAATACTAGTCCTTATCTTATGGATTTGGTGGGAGGGTTAAATAAGATGGTCTCAGAAAGTGCTCAGTATACAACCTAATATAAATAAGGTGCTTGATAAGTGGGAGCTGTTTTTATTATCTTTATTATGATCAGTTAACTTGAAGACCATGAAAATGGTAATGCCCACTCTAAAAAGTCAACTTCTAACATCCTTTCATTGGTAGGGATCTCTGTGAGCAGAAATGCATGATTTAGTCTTTCCGTTTTTTTAGTCACATTAGAATGTGAGTTCAGTCAGGAACGGTAGCACCCATTCCTTATGTCCCATTTTTATTGCTCTCTATAATTAATATACAAGAAAATATAAGCACAATATAAAGAGACACACTTCATAATTTGTTCTTGGTGAAAGAATGAAAATGAAATTAAGACTTTCAGTTTGTATCATGGTTATATTTTCTTTCTTAATTTTAATGTATGTCTAAGAACTGTCAGCTTGTGTGAGATCAGCTACTGCTGCTCCAAGAATCGTCCCATGTCAAATTGCATTTAGAAAGTGAGACAGTGATTACAGCTTGGCATGTCGGAAGTGAGAATTGAGTTCTGGCTCCTCAGGTGTAGCTGTTATAGTGGCTGAGTGGACACTGCCTCCTTAATTAAGTCAGACCTCTCCCCAAGTTCTTTCCCTGGCTTCTGGGCACACGAGGTCCTGTGACTGTGCTAGGGCAGTGCTTTTGGAACGTGATTAGAATACCCTTCACCTGGAGATCTTGTTTACAAGCAGAGTCTGCTTCAGTAGGACTGAGACAGAACCCAAGGCAAGCATTCCTGACAAGACTTCTGGGTGGCGCACACATTCCTGCACTTTTGAGTTGTAGGCTGTTAAAAGACAGTAATTTATCCCTGAAGATCAGAAACCTTTTCTTGCCTTATTTTAAGTCACTTTGCAATTGAACTTTGATTTTCTCTACTCAGCTTTCCTATATTTGAAATACACTCTTTATAAAGAAGAATCTTTATTTTTGGTGGTGGGGACTGCTGCTTAGGTGAGTGACAGGGCAGTAAAGTCGAGAAGTAAAGGCAGTAGGTTCTATCGTGGGCAACGAGAAAATCTTCCTTGTTAACCACAGTGTCACAAGCTGTTCCTTGGTTGTCTGACTAAGCTTTCATGTACCTGCTTAAGGCATTTAGAGCCTGGAACGTCTAGATCCTTCAGAGGACAAGTCCTTATTCCATTTCACTGCTCTTCCTGCATATTTACTTCTGCTGTTCTAGGCTCTAGAGAATCTTTTATTTTCTCTGTTGACTTTCTTTTCTTCTCTCCTAGCAGTTTCTGGCTTCCTGAAACTTTCTCTTTCAGTTCCATTCACCTCAATAAACATCAGTTAGTTTTTTAAACATCAACTTTAGAAAATAGTTAAATTTACTTCATTGGAAGCTCCAGGAAGCTGTTGCAGAAACTCCTCTAGAAATTTTTCTTCAGATAGTCTAGAGATAAGAGATTTGGCCTGGATTTCAAAGAATCTTAGTTGGGCTGATGATCATCTACTCTGTTGGCGTAGCTGACTTAGCCACTCAGCACAGTGCCTTGGTCCCAATTTTTGAGGCTGAAAAGATGTTTTAATACATATTATTAGTATATTTATCTTTATGCTAATGCAGTTGTAAACTCTAATTTTGAATGTTACTTTTTATGGAGCAAGGGATCCAGGAAGGTAAATGAGTCTGGGGTCCATTCAAGTCACATGGCAGCCTCCTTTTGGGAAAGGATTCCAGGTTGGGCTTGTAGCTCAGTGAAGTTCTGAGAAGCTTGGTATGGGGATTGCTCGATTACTCATGTCTGGGCAGGTGGAAGGAAGGCTGAACTTGGGATATGACAGTCACTGCTCTTGGGAAGAAGGTCAGACCAGTCTCTAGAACTCAGATATCATGTTGTCACAGAGTTCCTGCTGACGTATCTGATAAATAAATCTTCTTAAGGACACATTTTAACCATCGTTTTGGGCAGGAGGGATGCAGAGTGATGATAGAATATTTGAAGTTTTTTCCCTCTTTTTTTTATATTGACGTATAGTTGATTAACAATGTTGCGATAGTTTCAGGTGTACAATAAAGTGATTCAGTTATACATGTTTCTATTTAGATTGTTACAAATATTCAACAGAGTTGCATGTACTAGACAGTAGGTTCTTGTTGGTTGTCCATTTTAAATATACCAGTGTGTACATGTTAGTCCCAAACTCCCTAATATTTGAAGTTAGTCCAACATTTTTGCTATGGGATTTCTGCTACTTAGATGATGCATTTCACTTTTTTTTAACATTAAAGGAAAAGTGTCTCCCTGAGCACTCTGGCTTATTGCTCGCTGTCTGTTCTTTCTTTTTCCCATGCAGAGAGCACTGAAGAACAGAAAGACTTATGCAAAGCTCTTTGCTTAATTAAAGACATGATTGCAGCTGTGGATTTAAAAGTCAGTGAATACGAGAAAAAACAAAAATGGCTTGAGATCCTAAATAAGATTGAAAACAAAACGTACACTAAGCTCAAAAATGGCCATGTGTTTAGGAAACAGGCACTGATGAGTAAAGAGAGGACCCTGTTATACGACGGCCTTGTCTACTGGAAAACTGCTACAGGTCGTTTCAAAGGTACCGTGGCTCCAACAGACCAGTTTCTCTCTGTACCGCGTGTTATTCATTTAATAGAGGACAGGTTTTCCAAAGAAAAATGGTTCAGCAATGCAGGCACACACACAAACTGTGGGTCAGTAGAAAGATTCCTGTAGGATCACGTTGGAAACTTCAGTAGATGGAGGTGGCCCACCCTACACACCTTTGGGGAGAGTTTGCTGCCCCCAAGCAAAAGGCTTCCCAAGTGTTGCATGGGTTTTCAAGTTTGCAATGTCTGAATCAAAGGCACTGAGAATCCTAATTGGTGGCATGTAAATATTATTCTGGAAAATATGCCTACACACCCAGAGTCTATTGTGTGCCAAGTCAGCCCAGGGCTCAGACCACTGAGGAGAGAAATAAACTCTAAACATCTTCAGTGGTGAATGATATAATGCATAAATATACGTGTTGACATTGGTGGTTCGCTATCGAGCAGTCATCTGTTATCTGATTAGCGTCTAAAACAGTTTATTCTGATCCTTGAGGATCAGATCCTTTGTCAACACTGGCCACTGGACTTAATAGGACCTTGTTTTTCACTGAATATTTTTCTTCCATTTTTGAAAGCTACAACATTAAATTTTGCTGGAGATTTAGCTGCACCGACAGTGACACACACAAGCATGCACTTAAATGCCACTTACTTACTATGTTATCTCTAAAGTAAGTCTTTAGCTATCATAATATAGGCATTTTGGTAAAAGTTTTATAATTAGACTAAATCTTAGCTTTTTAATTTTTAGTTTGTTTAAATTAAACATGAAATGGGAATTTTAATAAGGGCATTTGAATTGTGGTTTGCTTCATTAATACTAGTAATTTGTTTCCTTTGAAGATATCCTAGCTCTACTTCTAACTGATGTGCTGCTCTTTTTACAAGAAAAAGACCAGAAATACATCTTTGCAGCTGTTGTAAGTATTCGGCTATGCGATGAATATTTCAATTACTTTAATTCCACATCTTCTTGGAAAATGCCTGAAATGCCTAGTGAAATTAAATGGTCATTGACAAGATCATGCCTGTGGTATATTCCCATTATCAGTGATTACAGTGTTCGGTAACAAGCCTCCAGTTGGTTTACCAAGCATGGTAAGAGTTGATTTATCATAACCAGGACTGGTATTCAGTTGATACAGCAATTTGATCAATTGTGAAAATATTGAAGTATTTTGATACTAGTTGGTGAATGTGTACTTAGTCGCTCAGTCGTGTCCAACTCTTTGCAGCCTCATGGACTGCAGCCCGCCAGGCTCCTCTGTCCATGGGGGTTCTCCAGGCAAGATACTGGAGTGGGTTGCCATGCCCTCCTCCAGGGGATCTTCCCGACCCAGGCATTGAGCCCAGGTCTGCGGTGTTGCAGGCGGATTCTTTACTGACTGAGCCACCAGGGGAGCCTCTGCTGCTTAACTATCTTGGTCTTCCCCTCAGAAACTCCCTCCCCTCCCATTCCTGACTTCCCAGCACCTGAGATATGAGTGCTGGGAATAGCAAATCCCTTCTGGCACTGCACTCTCTTTATCCCTGTTGGGCAGCGCCTGCTATACCAGCTGCTAACTCCATCCGTGCTGTTCCTCCTGCCAAACATGAGGATACCATCCTGGTATCTGACGTGTAAAGGGGGTTCTTTCTTTATTCTCCCATAGTGGCTGTTAGATAATAAGGCTGTTCAGATAACACTTATCTTTGTACTGTGTTATTTAATCTCATTGCCAGCACAGAGTGAGGCATAGAATAGCAGTAAAACCAATATTTTATAGCATGTTTTATGCAGCATCTTGTGGTCCACAGTGACTCACTTAAAGATGGAAGATGCCATCAGTTAACCCCTCATCAGCATTGTGGAGCCTCAGGCCCTTTTACAGGAAAGAATCTAAGATGCAGTACCAATGTGAGCAGCATAACGGAAGCTCTCCACCACGTTAGTGTGTGCCGTCCATTGATTGATACAGAATGAATGACTGAACAGAATCGGCCACTTTATGTAATCAGCAGTGGATGTGATGTAACAATGAGGCTGAACGTAGAAGTTCCTTTACCTCTTTTCCTTGGGCAGAGGCTGTCAACTCCAGTGTCTTCAGGGATTGGGCAGGCAATATATTAATAAATGAGTAAACTGGCCCAGTCTCTTGCTGTCAAGGAGCTGATAGTGGTAGAGACTGCAGTGAACTGGTGAATTCATGCCCTTTCCTGAAGATGGCAGGATGACTCAGCCATTGCCTGTGTTTTATTTTTTATTTTATTTTTTTCCATTTATTTTTATTAGTTGGAGGCTAATTACTTTACAATATTGTAGTGGTTTTTGCCACACATTGACATGAATCAGCCATGGATTTACATGTGTTCCCCATCCCGATCCCCCCTCCTGCCTCCCTCTCCATCCCATCCCTCTGGGTCTTCCCAGTGTACCAGCCCTGAGCACTTGTCTCATGTATCCATCCTGGGCTGGTGATCTGTTTCACCCTTGATAGTATACTTGTTTCAATGCTGTTCTCTCTGAACATCCCTCCCTCGCCTTCTCCCACAGAGTCCCAAAGTCTGTTCTGTACATCTGTATCTCTTTTTCTGTTTTGCATATAGGGTTATCATTACCATCTTTTTAAATTTCATATATATGTGTTAGTATACTGTATTGGTCTTTATCTTTCTGGCTTACTTCACTCTGTATAATGGGCTCCAGTTTCATCCATCTCATTAGAACTGATTCAAATGAATTCTTTTTAATGGCTGAGTAATATTCCATTGTGTATATGTACCACAGCTTTCTTATCCGTTCGTCTGCTGATGGGCATCTAGGTTGCTTCCATGTCCTGGCTATTATAAACAGTGCTGCAATGAACATTGGGGTACATGTGTCTCTTTCCGATCTGGTTTCCAAGGTGTGTATGCCCAGAAGTGGGATTGCTGGGTCATATGGAAGTTCTATTTCCAGTTTTGTAAGGAATCTCCACACTGTTCTCCATAGCGGCTGTATTAGTTTGCATTCCCACCACCAGTGTAAAAGGGTTCCTTTTTCTCCATACCCTCTCCAGCATTTATTGCTTGTAGACTTTTGGATAGCAGCCATTCTGACTGGCGTATAATGTTACCTCATTGTGGTTTTGATTTGCATTTCTCTGATAATGAGTGATGTTGAGCAGCTTTTCATGTGTTTGTTAGCCATCTGTATGTCTTCTTTGGAGAAATATCTGTTTAGATCTTTGGCCCATTTTTTGATTGGGTCATTTATTTTTCTGGAATTGAGCTGCAGGAGTTGCTTGTATATTTTTGAGATTAATCCTTTGTCTGTTTCTTCGTTTGCTATTATTTTCTCCCATTCTGAAGGCTATCTTTTCACCATGCTTATAGTTTCCTTTGTTGTGCAAAAGGTTTTACATTTAATTAGGTCCCATTTTTGGGCCCAGGATTGCTAATTTTCTGCTTTCCCCCCGAACTCAGAAATCTAGTGTTTTTATTTTAAAACAGTGAAATGCTCGGTTTTTAAAGACTGGAAAATTATGTTTAAAAAGCTCTCTGCAAGCTGGCCTAGGCCTTTGCATCACTAGTTTTTGACATCTGTCTCCAAAGTAGCCAGGTTACCTCCATTCCTAGAGGTTTAATTTGAATTCTTGAGCATCTCTAGAGTCCCTGTGTGGTTCACATGAGTAATCTTGGTCCTGCCCCTGATGCCTCCTGGTCTGTGGTGGTTAAACGGAAGCTACTTTCTATCCACTGACGTGTTTTTCATTTTTAAAATATCTGACCCCACCACCACCTCTCCTGCAACAGTAAACTACTAGTTCAAATTATATATGTGTGTGTGTGTGTGTGTGTGTGTGTATTCAAACCTACTCTGCCTCTGCCTCTTTATTTACAGAGGCTGCTGACCTTGTGAGCTGAGGAAGCTGAAATAGCATTGCCAGAAGGAAAGTAGATAAGGTCTTATATAGTAAACCCATTATCGAGTAAGGGATATTAAACATGCTCACAGGTGCTCCCTAATTAGCAAGGGCAGCATTCCAAAAGCTTTGGCACAAAGCAGCTTTGACTTCCGTGAGCAGAGGCAGCACCCAAGACTGAGCAGACCAATGGTTTGTCCCATGGTGGGTTGGTTTTCGGTGTTTGCTGCTCTTAAGAATTGGAAGAAGATTGAGTGAAGTGATCCTCTGGTCATACCCTTGCACACACCTTCAGATGTGGTGAAGCTGGGTGCTGCTGGGAAAATAGCCAATCTCTAAGGAGTCAACGGGGAGGGCTGGGGCGGCGTGTTCTGGATAAAGGCGTCTCAGTTCCTGAGGCAGAAGCAAAGCTACGTGCTGCAGCCAGCTCTGTAAACGGTGGTAGAAACCACAAACCAAAGAAGTCTTCATAGTTAGCCGCCAAACTGTTCATTGTGCAGGCATTCTTTTGGCCGTTTGTTCAACTTTAACTACCTACCAGAATTGGGATTATCCATGTTTTTATCCATCTTTGAATGCCCAGTGCTTAGAAGGAGAACTGAAGGATCACAGTCGATGGGAAAAGTGATTTAATCAGCCAAAGTTTAGGCTTTGTTACTATTTCCGTCTGATGGAATTATGCCAAATAGAGTTCTACAGACATGTACTGAGTTGCCTACTTTATTCAAAACAATGTGTTAGGTAAATGAAGATGAATGAGACCCACTTCTGCTCGCCAAGAGCTTACCTGTCTGGTTGGTGAGAACAAGAGGCATTTGCAGACGGAGTGAGCCTTGGTACTGTGATAGCAGGAGACATTGGTCCTGGAGAATCTGAGGTCTTGCACTCCCTGCTTACCTTTCATTTTAATAGATTTCTCTTCGGTGCTTGGGGTTCTGTATGTATCACCTTGTGAAAACAGTGTTGCTGTTAAGTGCCAAATCCAAGGGTCACTTTAGGTCTTCCAACCCTCTTAATCTATTCATAATATTTGATACACTGTTCATGCCCTTCTAGAAAAGTCTCTCCATCCCTCACTACAGCCTTTTTTGATATTTTTTCTTATTGCTCTGATTGTTCTTTTTAAATGATATCTTTTAAAGTCACCAATTCCTAAGGACATTCTCCTGCATCCTCTTTTTCCATCCGCTCTTCACCATACCTTTTCATTGGAGATCTTACCCACTTCCACAGCTCTTCCGGAAAGGTTGCACTGAGATATTTGCCTAATACTGTTGCTTTCCTTAGCTATTTGTTTTGTGAGACCCTTCCTTTAAGTAGGATACTGTTTCATCTGCACCTCACCCTGTTTTCTGTAGGATCAGAAGCCATCAGTTATTTCCCTTCAGAAGCTCATTGCTAGGGAAGTTGCAAATGAGGAGAGAGGAATGTTTTTGATCAGCGCTTCATCTGCTGGTCCTGAGATGTATGAAATCCATACCAACTCCAAGGAGGAAAGAAATACCTGGATGAGACGGATCCAACAGGCAGTAGAAAGGTAGCACTTCCTTCTGTCCACTATTGCGGGAATGGACTTGTTCTATTGGGGAAAAGAATCTAACCATGTCTCCCCTGCATGAAAGCTCAGCCTCAGCTAGAGGGCTCTGCTCCCTGCCCTCTGCTCCCGCCTGCCATGGCCCCTCATCTTCATCTTTGCTCTCCACGCTTCCCTGCATGTAACGCCCCGTCTCCCTCTGCCTGTGGGACTCCTGCCCATCTTGGTACAGCTGTGACCCAGCATCTTCATGAAGACCTCCTCAGTTCCACTGGTCTCTTCCTAACCTGGAGTTCCTTAATACCTGCTCCCAAAGCATTTATCTGATGCTTGATATCTGCTACTGCCTTGTAGCTATTACCTCGACTCATGTATATGTGTTGGTTATTAGACTGGAAGCTCCTAGAGGGCAGGGGCCATGCCTTCTGTTTTTCTGTGTCCATAATTCAGAAGAATCATTCAATAAACATTTTTAGATCAGTGGATCTGTATCAACTTACCCCTCATTGCTGGTGCTATGACAGTTTTTATAAATGGGGGTGTGAGGGTGATCATTCTTAATGGCAATTTGATTAGATCTTGAAAGATGTTGTATAAAATTCCTCCACCTCCCCTGCCCTCTGCCCACCCTGCCACCCTACCTCCCTTCCCCTCTGGTCTCTCTGCTCTTACCCTCATGGAGAATGGAAGTACCTAAATGCAGTAGAAAGCAAAAAGTATTCTTTTAAGTGTACCTACTCCTGGCATTGGTATTGTGTGTGTATAAGTATATGTTTGTGTATGTGTGTGTTTGTTGGAATGTTTGAGTCATCCTAAACTGCTCACTTTGAAAGCTCTCTTACATAATGCAAGCTCCATTATATACTCAAGAAAACCAAATCTCTTGGCCAGGGGGCATGATGAATTCTCTTTATGCTGAATTTTCCTTTTCTGACTAATTCTTCTGCCAAGTTCCCCCGTCTTTCTAATGAACCTAAAGATACTTGGGTATGGTTTCAGTTGTCTCTCTTGACTGTTGTCTTTTAAAGTTGCCCAGAAGAAGAAGGGGGAAGGACAAGTGAGTCTGATGAAGAGAGGAAGAAAGCTGAAGCCAGAGCAGCGAAGATTCAGCAATGTCAAGGTACAGTGCAGGCGCCTCTGCGTCCCTGGTCACGGGGTTCTCCTTGGAGACTGGGAAAGCCCAGGTGGCATGAATAGTTCATTTAGTTCAGGACTAAATAATTAATTTTGTGCACCCAAGGCCCACCCTGATTGCTCTCAAAAAAGTATATATATTAACATATATTGGCACTGGAAGTGCTCAAATAAAATGACTCCCTACCGCTTCCTCCTTAGTGATTAAAATATATATGTTTAAAATTCTGCATATAACATGACAGTAGTTGTGGGCAGTATGGTGCAGATGGGCATGGGAGCTGTTGTCTAGTGTTTTTAAAATTTAACTAATTTGTTTTCGGCTCTGCTGGGTCTTTGTTGCTGCCCAGGCTTTTCTCTAGTTGTGGTGTTCTGGTTTTATTTCATGTACAGATCCTGGGTGCAGAGAAGCATTGCCATGGCTCCTCTGGGTGCAGAGCTTGGGCTCTGGAGCGCAGGCTCCGTGGTTGTGCAGGGCATTTAGTTGCTGCAGGGCATGTGGGCTCTCCCTGCACCAGGGATCGAACCCGTGTCCGCTGCATCAGTAGGTGGATTCTTCACCGCTGGGCCACCAGGGGAACCCCGTCGTCTAGTGTTTGGATTCTAGATCCCAGCACTGTTAGGGGTGGTTGCCTGACTTCAGACAAGGACCACAGTAGCTCTGGATCTTGTTTTCCAAATCTGTGAAGTAAGGAAATTAAATGAGCCTAGTGATTCTCACCTCTCACTGGGCTTTAGAATCACTTGTGGAGGTCTTCAAAAATTCTGATGCCTGGACTTCACCCTCAGCCAACTCACCCCGAATTTGAGGGCAATGGGCTGTACACGCCAGTATTTTAGGCTCCCCTCTGATGATTCTGAGGCAGACTGAGAAGCCCTGGATCTGCTGCTGGTTGTGGTCCCTTTAAGCTCTAAGAATTCTGTGACACGCTGAAATGAGAGGAAGTCGATGCATGTGAAGGTGGTTAGAGAAACTGGATGTTGAGAAACCAAAAACGTAAACCAGTATGTTTGGTTTTGACCAGGACTGGCTGAAGGCCGAGCGTTCCAGCCCTTGCATTGTTTTCCCTTGTGGGAAGCGCTCATCATGGACAGTGCCGCCTCAATTTTCATTCCTGAGCTTCATGTTTAGTCTTAATAGAAAACAGCCTGAATAAACAATGATTGGCTTTGCAAGGTTTTCTGGAATTAGGGGAATTGGAAGGGAAATGAACATTTATTGAGTACAACAAATTTACAGAAGAGACAGTGGAAGATGTTTAATCATCTGCTGGAAGCTACAGTCACCAGATAGAAAGTTAGGATTTGAATCTATGTTTGTCCCACCCAGTGACTTGTACTTGACCTGTTCAACCGTCCTGCTGGCTAATTAGCAACATTTTTGTCTTAGAGCCTGGGTTTTCATTTGTTGTATTCATGTGATAATTTTCAATGATAAATACTATTTCTTAGAAATACTCAGTAACCAAGATCAACAAATTTGCACATATTTGGAAGAGAAGCTGCATATCTATGCGAAACTTGGAGAACTGAGTGGATATGAGGATGTCCATCTAGAGCCCCACCTCCTCATTAAACCAGACCCTGGAGAGCCTCCCCAGGCAGCCTCATTACTGGCTGCAGCACTGAAAGAGGGTAAGTTGCTTCCAAAAGGATTTTTCTCAACAGACTCCCAAAATGTTTATTAAGCAGCTACTGTGTGCCATGTGCTATGGTCTTGCAGCTGAAGATATAGCAGAATAAATCCTTATTATTCAGAAACAGAGTCCTTACTGATTCCAGAAACAGCAAAATGTATTTTTTTTTAAAAATGTCAGTTTGATTCAAGTGCTATGAAGGAAAATAAGGATAAGGGGAATAGAGAGTGTTGGGGTTGGGGAGGTCCTATTTTTGATAGGATGACCAGGGAAGAGCTCTTTGATATGGTGGTATGTGAGCAGACAAGAGAGAAGTGAGAAAGCAGAGTAGATGGCTGGGGAAAGAATGTTTCAGATTGGAGAGGTGCAGGTGCAAAGGCCCCGAGGCCGGCGTGCACCCAGCTTGTTTGAGGAACAGCAAAGGGGACAGTGCAGGTGGAGTGAAATAGGGGTGGAGAGTGGCAGGAGCTGAGTTAGAGCACCTAGGACTTGGGTTACATAGATGAGATCAAGGTGAAGTACTTTTAATTTCATTGTGAGTGACAAGGGAAGCAGTACAGAGTTTTGAGTAGAGGAATGTCTTGATTTGTGTTTTTAAAGGAGCCCTATGGTGCAGTGTGGAGATAACAGAGTCTAGGGCACAACCGTGGGAGTTGCTGGCTGAGGTAGAGTGGAGGACGAGGTCAATGAAGGGGGAAAAGTTAGGGAGATGAGAGGCCAGGGTGTTGGAGGACTACGTTCATAGAGTTGCGATGACAGAGAATTTTGACAAGAGTTGCATTGGGGTAGGTGAGAGGAGTTATACCAGGTGCCATGTTGCTTAAGGAATCTGTAGGTGAATAACAACCAGGAGGGCCAGTAAGTGGTGTAATCTGGTGGCATAAAATTCAAAGGAAAAACAGGTTTAGGGAGGAAATAGGGCTAATAGACTGGAAGTGACGATAGGGATGGAGGGCTTGGGAGATAGAAAGCTACCACCTGAGAGTGGCGGGGGATGCTGTCATCCAGCACACGGGTTGGTGAATTACAGACCGTGGACTAAATGTGTCCCACCTCCCACCACGTGTATTTATAGCAATAGTTCTGTTGGAACACGGGCACACTCATGCGTCTCCTTTGTCTTTGGCGGCTTTCTTGCTACAATGGCAAAGATGAATAGTTGCAACAGGCAACTGAATAGGTGCAGTAGGCCCACAAAGCCTAAAATATTTACTCTCTGGTTGTTTGCAGAAAACATTTCGTAAGTTCTGTCTTAGAAATCTCAGAACACTACCTCTGGAAGAGGATTTAGAAATCATGGGATCTGTTGCATCTGTTTCACAGTTGAGGAAACTGAGCTCTCAAGGAGGGCATGTGTGCTTCGTCGCTCAGTCATGTCTGACTCTTTGTGACGCCATGGACTGTAGCCCACCAGGCTCCTCTGTCTATGGGGATTCTCTAGGCAAGAATGCTGGAGTAGAGGAAAAAAGAACACTGGAGTGGGTTGCCATGCCCTTTTTCAGGGTACCTTCCCAACCCAGGGATCGAACCCAGGTCTCCTGCATTGCAGGTGGATTCTGTAGTGTCTGAGTCACCAGGAAGCCCAAGAATATTGCAGTGGGTAGCCTATCCGTTCTCCAGGGAACTTCCCAACTCAGGAGTCAAACCAGGATCTCCTGCATTGCAGACAGATTTTTACCAGCTGAGCTACCTGGAAAGCCTGAGGAGGGCATAGAGGTGATCTAAAGCGGAGTCCACTGATGGAGAATCTCTCACTCATTTATTCATCAGATGTTCATTAAGCATCTACCTACCATGTGCATACCAGACCACCTGACCTGCCTCCTGAGAAATCTATATGCAGGTGAAGAAGCAACAGTTAGAGCTGGACATGGAACAACAGACTGGTTCCCAATAGGGAAAGGAGTACATCAAGGCTGTATATTGTCACCCTGCTTATTTAATTTATATACAGAATACATCATGCGATATGCTGGGCTGGATGAAGCACAAGCTGGAATCAAGATTGCCGGGAGGAATATCAATAACCTCAGATATGCAGATGACACCACACTTATGGCAGAAAGTGAAGAGGAGCTAAAGAGCCTCTTGATGAAAGTGAAACAGGAGAGTGGAAAAGCTGGCTTAAAACTCAACATTCAGAAAACTAAGATCATGGCATCTGATCCCATCACTTCATGGCAAATAGATGGGGAAACAATGGAAACAGTGACAGACTATTTTTTTTTTTTGGCTCCAAAATCACTACAGATGGTGACTGGGGCCATGAAATTAAAAGACACTTGCTCCTTGGGAGAAAAGCTATAACCGACCTAGACAGCATATTAAAAAGCAGAGACTACTTTGCCAACAAAGGTCTGTCTAGTTAAAGCTATGGTTTTTCCAGTAGTCATGTATGGATGTTAGGGTTGGACTATAAAGAAAGCTGAGCACCAAAGAATTGATGCTTTTGAACTGTGGTGTTGGAGAAGACTCTTGAGAGTCCCTTGCACTTCAAGGAGATCAAACCAGTCAGTCCTAAAGGAAATCAGTCTTGAATATTCATTGGAAGGACTGATGTTGAAGCTGAAACTCCAATACATTGGCCCCCTGATGCAAAGAGCTGACTCATTTGAAAAGACCCTGATGCTGGGAAGGATTGAAGGCAGGAGAAGGGGATGACAGAGGATGAGATGGTTGGATGGCATCACTGGCTTGATGGACATGAGTTTGAGCAAGCTCTGGGAGTTGGTGATGGACAGGGAAGCCTGGCGTGCTGCAGTCCACGGGGTCACAGAGAGTCGGACTCGACTGAGGAACTGAACTGAACCATGTGCACTATTGTTGGTGCCAACTAAGGAAAGGGTAATGCTTTCATAAAAATCTATAGTAAACAATACACAAAGAAACAAGGTAATTTCAGAAAACCACAAGAAAATAAGATAATGGGATTGCATGGAGGGGAAGGCTTTACTGTAGAGAGGTCAGGGAAGACTGCTCTGAGGTTATGTTTTGAGGTGAGAATTGACTGATGAGAAGCCAACTGTCTGGAGACCTAGGGGAAGACAATTCCTGAGAATGGGCTGAGAGAATGTGAGTTTGTAGCCCCTACTTTGGGAATGAGCTTGTCTTGTTCAATGAAAGAAGGAAGGCCAGGTGGCAGGAGGCAGAGGAGACTGTACTGTGGGTGGGCAGGGACCAGATATTTGTACACTGTGGTTAAAGAGAGAGATTTTATTCCAAAACCAATGGAAAGTTAGTTTTTGTAAGCTTTTAATCATGGGTGTAGCATGATCTTATTTATGTCTTGAAAAGAATGAGGGTTGATGAGTGGAAAACAAGATCAGAAGGAGAATAGTTTGCCTGGAGACTGTTAAGAAGCAGTTACAATGAGAGAGGCTGGAGCCTTGGTCTAGACCAGGACTATTGGCAATGCAAGTAGGGAGAAGTGGGTAGAGACGAGAGGTTTTAGAAATAAAGACAAAAGGCTGGCTTGACATGAGCCAGGGGCCCTCTCATTATTCTTGATGATATCACATAAGTTCAGTTCAATTGCTCAGTCATGTCTGACTCTTTGCGACCCCATGAACCGCAGCACGCCAGGCCTCCCTGTCCATCACCAAGTCCCGGAGTCCACCCAAACCCATGTCCATTGGGTCAGTGATGCCATCCAGCCATCTCATCCTCTGTTGTCACCATCTCCTCCTGCCCCCAGTCCCTCCCAGCATCAGGGTCTTTCAAATGAGTCAGCTCTTTGTATCAGGTGGCCAAAGTATTAGAGTTTCAGCCTCAGCATCAGTCCTTCCAATGAACACCCAGGACTGATCTCCTTTAGGATGGACTGGTTGGATCTCCTTGTGGTCCAAGGGACTCTTAAGAGTCTTCTCCAACACCATAGTTCAAAAGCATCAATTCTTTGGTCGGTGCTCAGCTTTCTTTATAGTCCAACTCTCACATCCATATATGACCACTGGAAAAACAATAGCCTTGACTGGATGGACTTTATTACCTGCTTGCAGTTTTAGCCTGTGCTGCTGGGCATTCTATGGTGCTTTGATATCTGGATGGTAGAACTTGGCACTGATGAGCATTGCCCTACAGTAGAGTTAGCTGTATGTGTCTCTTTCCTCTGCAAACTCACCTCATTAGTTAGCAGATGCCCAGTGGCCCCCAAACAGAGTAGGTGCTCAATGAGTAGTTGCTAAATTGAATCACTGGACAGTGTTTTAGAAATATTTGTAGAGTCCTCAGAATTATACTATTCTACATGCTAAGTGCAAACTTTTCATTGTCATTAAAAACTTGACTTTCTCGGTGTGGTATTTCCCAGTCTTACCGGATCTCAAGAGTAGCCTTTGGTGCTCTTTAAAATTCAGCTCCTCTGTTTTCTCCTCTGGATAATCTGATCTAGTAGGTCAAGGGTAAGGATTGAGAACCTGTATTTTATTTAAGGCATGTTTAGGGAAATTCTCTTTTGAAGAATAACTAATATTTCTGAGTAGCAAGTTTGAAAATCCTAATGCCTGACATTATATTTAAATTAACTGAATTTCAGGAAGTTTTTTTTTTAAAGCATACTATTTTACTGAAAGTTGCATTTGAATTATTTTATACTGTTTTTTTTAATTGAATTAATCCTGTATCATAAAATGATACTGAAAGTACTGGTCTAGAATTCAGGTTGGTAAACTTTTTCTGTAAAGGGCCAGATAGTAAATATTTTAGGCTCTGCAGGCCATGGACAGTTTTTTGGGAACACAGTCTTCTTTGTGTTTGAATGTGTATTTTAATACAACTGTAAAAAGGGTAATAAAAGTCATTTTTAGCTCCTGGGTCATATAAAAACAGACACAGGTAAAATACAGTTTGCTAACCCCTGAACTAAATAAAAAGTGTGTGTGTGTGTGTGTGTGTGTGTGTGTGTATTTTAAATTGACTTTTGTTTTCCTCCTCCTCCTCAGCTGAGAGTCTGCAAGTGGCAGTGAAGGCTTCCCAGATGAGCGATGCGTGTCAGTCTGCTGAGGAAGGCTGTGGAGAACCTGCCCTGCCGGACGTGCTCACCTCTCAGGACGCACCAGGACCATCTACTGCTTGTAAGTGAGTGTGTGGCCTTGGCAGTGAGCCTGGGCACAGGTCCCTGGAGCATAGAGTGGGCACATAAAATGAAGGCAACAACTGTGCCCTGATTTGGAGGGTACTGAGTATATTCTTTAGGAAAAAAATCTGAGAATAAATGCACTAGCCTACTTTACCTAAAATAACGACACTGGTGTTCCAAGGGCCAGGACTTAAAGAACAGTGGTAGGTTACGCTGCCTAGCTGTAGGTTACCCAGGCAAGCAGTGACCTTCCCCAAACCCTACCCTGCCTTGTGTTGGCTGTGACTTAACTGAATGCAGTCTTGCAAGAGCTTTGGCAGTTTGGGGGTTTTTTGGAAAAGGGTCCCTGCAGTTCATTAAAGAGTAAGTCCTTTACTTTCATCTCATATGGTCAACTGAGAAAACCACACTCAGAAAACTAGAATCTAATGCGTGCATGCACACATGCAAGACACACGTACACACACGCCCACATAGACACACACGTGAAATCTAGTGTTTTGGTTAAAGGCAGAAGTACCAAAAGATTCTTGATCAGTGTTGTTATACCTCAAAGTTGAGGTCGTAATTCATTTATTAAACAGTGTTTCAGAATACTTTAAATACAGAAAAATAGAATGTAGTAAGTTGATTTCAGTAATTTCTCAAAACCTAATCATATGTGTAGCTGTAAGATAAATATTTAGTTCTCTAGAGGTTTTTGAGATACAAGCACATAGTTTTCATTATATCCTGGTGATTAAAAACCTTACTTCCGCCAGGTCTTCTATGCTCAAGCAGATAAGATGTCTTTTAGTAGCTGGAGATTGGTGGATTAAATTGCCTTAGAATTTCTTTAACAGCATCCCTTGGTTAATTAAGAGATGAATGGAAGCAGTCCAGTTTTAAAATTTTATACATTTTTTAAAACTAGCACCAATAATTATTTTCCTCTCTTGGGTTCTACTTTATCTAATCCTGGGTTTCTATTTTCAGAATGTGCACATATGTTTTTCATTTCGACACAGCCCAGATTCGTCAGGGGAGTTGTACTGCCCCGGGTGATTTCCTTTTTAAAGAAGAACCTCAGTATGCCATTGAGGAAGTTCTAGCTAAAAATACGAGTAGGGATCTGCCGCTCTCAGCCTCAGCCCAGGGACAGCTGGAGAGGCTCCGCTCAGATCCAGCAGCTGCTCCGGGCACAGGCCGCACCCACCTCCCATCAGACCGGGCCGTCATCTCCCCTGACATCTGCTAGAACCATCCAGAGCCTGTTCCCAGCGGCCTGATGTCAGGGTTCCTGTAGAGGAGGGGCAGGTCGGTGTTCAGTGCTGGGGCTGGACTGGAACACGGTGCTCCCGGAGGTTGATGTGCTTTATAGAGTTGATGAGGGTGAAAAACACTTCCCTAAACAAAAAGTCTGTAACTGCATGGGTTAGTCCTATGACAGGCTTCAAGGACTGAGTCCTTCTAAGTCAGGCCCATGTCAGTCTGAGATTACAGACCAAGCAAGACCCTGTTTTCAGTCCTCAGTATACCTAATCAGGTAGACAGGTAAATCTACTTCCTGTGAAATTATGAAGACCCTCTTGTCTGTTCTGAAAGAGAGTACAGGAGCAGAGGGACCTGATCCATTCCGCTCTTCTTGCCTTCATCTGGCTCACCGTCAGCTCTTTCTCTATCTGGTGGTCCTCATGTCTATGATGGGGACAAGAGAGAGAATGGCTAATTCTTTTGGCATCTCTCTGAGAGTTAGGAATAATATCCAAGAGTTGAACCATTTTTGAGTGCCAGAAAAATCTCTATAAAGTGTCCCTTCACTATGGAGGAAGCACTGACCAGCTTGGGCAAGATGAATTTAAATTTTAGCTGATATAATTTGAATCAGGTTCTGCTTAAACAAAAGCTTTTTCATAATAAAAGAGGCCTTTGGAATCATAGAGGACTCTCATTTTCAAGAGATCTAAGTATTTTTTAATTAATTTAAATAAAGAAAAAAGTATTTCCTTCATCAGAAATAAAGTTCCAAGATAGTACCGAGGAAAAAAATTATAAACAGTGTCACAAATGAATACTTATTTCACCAAGTCCTGATTGGGCAGGGTTCCAGTGAAATTTGGTGTGGGAAGGGGTTTTGGAAAGTCCAGGTTTAATCTGTGCAAGATGACCATGGTATAAATTTTAACTGAGTTCACATGGGTGGATACATAAATAAATAAAATCCCACCGTTGGAGATTTAACGGATGGAGTGAAATCTATTTGGTACTTAAACATATTTCTGGGCTAAAAATATTTCTGTGTTTGCATACATTAAGTATAGAGTAATTACAGTGTTTGTGAATTTAGAGCATAAGCAAGAAATGTAAGGGAAAAAACACACTTGGAAAGCATTGAAAATATTACTAGTAAGTTATCTGGAGATAAGGACAGCTTCTCAGTTTGATGACTCTAAGCTCATACAGTTTTCGCCTTCTTCACCTGCTTAGAAAGATGTTTCATTCCTCCTATTGGATGCCTCCCTCCCTCGTTAATGGTCTACTGCTCTTGTAACCAGTGCAGAGGGAGGCTTCCCAGACCTGTCTCCTTAGAGCTGGTCTGCCAGCCCTCGCTTTTCTTCCGCTGTGCCTGTTTTTATTTGACCCTCCCCAGGCCTCTTTCCCCATTAAGTGAATGTGAGATGCAGGATCCTACCGTCTTAGCACCACAGACATCACCCAGACATCTCTCTGCCAGAAAGAAAGGAAAGTAAAAAGCTGGATGCCCTGGGTCAGCTTGGCACCTACCAGTGTGTAAGCTCCCTGGGGGCAGAGACTCCGCGCTTCACTCTGTTCCGTTTTAGCACTTCCTAGAAGAATGTTCCATACATGTGACGTTGTGATGTTTCTCCCCTTGGAATATGTGTCAGCTGTGTACCAAGGACCCCGTCCGCTGGCTGATGTTTGATGATGTCCTTTTTGTTTCTGTCTCAACGATGTGCTTCCAGCACTAGTCACAGAAGGGACAGGAGGAAGAGGCTGTTGGGATGTGGATGCCGGGACCCAGGGTGTGGGAACCGACCTGGCGGTTTCTGATGCGGGGGAGAAGGTATTGTGAACTGACTTGTTAGTAAATGGCACCGGTTACTTTGTGTAATAAAACAACCTCAGCTCCTGGTCTGTCCTCGGCAGTGAATAGTCCGCAAGTGTTTTCCTGCATTGTTCTCCATTTCAGTATTCGTACTTAAACTTTCTACCTTTTCTCTTAAAATGTTCTTGCTTTCCTAAATATCGTGTAGGTGTAAACCAAGAAACAAATGAAAAGTTATTAAAAAGATTGAAAACTCAAATGTTTATTTGTGTGTCTGCGCTCTTGCTCCTGGTCTCACTTGCCGCCCTGCAAACCTCCAGCTTTTCACCCATGACATTTCGCACCTCTTGGCTGAGAGGTGGTCCTGGGCTGGCAGGCCCTTACGCAACCAGGTGACGCCAAAGTGGCAGAAATAATTTTGACTTTGGAATACCCCGGCTGCTTCACTTGCTTTTCCCTTCCTTTTGTTTCTGATTGTTTTCCTGTTAGCACTCTCACTGTCGCCGGCCTTTTGGATAGTCTTGTAGTTAACCTAATCAGTTTTTGCTTCCTGGCATCACCTTTTCTTTGTGCATACTATACACATAGGTTACAACACACTCTTTTAAAGTGAAATTTCCTATTAACATCAGATGAAACTGCGATGTCGGAGAGAGATGGGGAATAAGAACATGATTCTGGGAGGTGGCTAGTGGGCCTTCCCAGGGTTAACTGGGCTCAAGAGTTACTTTGTCTGAAATTGAATTAGATACATTACGGATACCACAGTGTGTTAATGTGGGGGAATGACATCTGTCAGATCTTATTTATGTAACATTTTGTATTTCATAGATATTTTTGTGTATATTACATATGACTGAGAAATCAAAGATATTTTAAGAGCCATAGAAAAGATGGCTGTGATTTACTGTTTTTTCAAACTTCATAGGCCAAAATGAATATAGTCATTAGATTTCATTCCACTTATTCTGACTGTAAGCTTTCTAAGTTCTTTCATCTTAAAACATTCCTGCTTTTCCGCTCTTTTCAGGGCAAACTTCACTTTCAAGTCTGTAGTTTCCAGCTGCTTTTTTGTTATTAGAGGAGGGAAGTGGGGGAAGGGCTGATTAGTTTTGAATGGAAACCTGAGGTGGCTTACACCTCTGAAGTCCTCCCCTTCCATGATTCTGTTCCAGGTAAGAGATGAGGTGTCCAGGTTCCTCTTTGGATGGACCTACCTGGAAAATTTTGCCATTAATAAGGCATTTTGAGAAATGAATTGACCTATAGAGCAGAATCATTTGAAATCATCCTTTAAAGAAGTTTGTGATGGCTGTTTTTGTAATTATCTTTCTTAATATGGTAAGGTTTAAAAAGAAGCATTTCTGAAAAAATTTTTCAAAATTTCAGATTTGTAACCCAAATGTCAAAATATCCTATGTGTAAAGCACCCAATGCAGCTATGCACATTCCCCACAAGGTGGCGGACCAACTCCATTAAAAAGATGACATTTCAAAATTCCTGTCTCCTATCAAACTTAGTGGATCTTGGGAATAAGTGACTTCATATGGTATAATCCAACTCATTTCTGTGTATCTAACTTTTATAGAGTATAAAAATTATGTCCTGTACAATCTTCTTACAAACACAGTGGAGTGTAGAGCAAGGGACAAAATCAGAAGAGTGGAGAGAACTCCAAAATTCACTGTGGAACGGGGAGTTCTCAGCTCTTGTTATCTTCCCGAGGGTGGGCCACAGCTCTGATGACTAAGCTTCATTTCCTTTCCCATCATTTGTCCTTCCCCTGTTCGAGATACTGCTTGTGAAAGCTTTCATGGGCAGTTGTAGGGTGAAGAGCGAGCGGGTAGGGAGAAAAGGCCGGGCTAGCTCATCACAGTGGCCTCATCAGCCTGAACTAATTGAATGTAACAAGTTTCAGGTTACCTGAGAGCTGTTCCTTGAGGTTTGATTTAAAGCTGCTCAGACAAGACCACAAGCGGTGTGCGAGAGGCTGCAGGCCCTAGGAAGGCAGCAGCTCTGAGGATCCCCATAGTGTGATGTGTGGAGGACACAGTGGCTGCTCACCTTTATCTATAGCATGGCGTGTGCGTGTCCCTTACATGCCAAGCAGCCCTCTTAGGCTTGCAGACACAGCACTGAACACACAGATGAAATCTTGCTACTCATTGGCTTGCATCCTAACGAGAGAAAAGAGACGGTAAACAAATAGACAAATGTTGCATGCTGAAAACTGGAAAGCCTCACTATGCACATGTGCGCTCAATGTGTGCAGTGGAGATGCACCCCCCACCCCACCGCCCACGAGGAGCACATGGTCGCCTGTGGCCTCCTTCAAGGCCTGTGCTGCCAGGGCTTCTCCTAGGTGCCCACGCATGGGCCCCGGGAGCTCTCAGCGGGAGGATGCCGGCCAGCTGAGTTCTGTCCTTTGGGCTGCCTCTGGGTCTGGTTTCTCCTCCCAGCCAGCGGCAATTATGACTTCCCAAATCTCAAAGTGAGTTACAGACTGGGCATGATGACCTATAGTTTCCGAATCTGGCCTCCAGGATACAAGCCTGGCCCGAGAGACTAGCCTGGGTGCAGAGAGCACCGTTTACAACCCGGCTTGCATGAGGTACATGTGGTCACTTTGAGCCTGCATCTTCCCTGGGTGTCCTAAGGGAGGGACAAGTGGGTCTGGAAGGAAGTGGCCCTGCAGCTCAGATACAAGGTTGCCCAGAGGGGGCTCTCTTGTCAGGTGGTGGTTTAATTCTATAGACTTGGCTTTCTGGGAAGAAAAGTCACTATGGAAGAGTTTTCGAGTGAGAGCAGAGATTTCCCTGAGGTCATAGGCTGTGGAACACTGCAGTGCAGCCTTTTAAGAGTGGAGTGAGTGTTCATTTTCTTTATGTTTTTATGTATTTTAGGTGGAATGTAGAAGTTTCCCAGGTTCTTTGCAATCAGAGGTGAGCTCTGCATACCTTTAATATGTCACCATCCTTTCTTTCTTTGTGCATAATGAATGCTTTTTCAAAAATTTGACACTCACAATCTTATTTTTCAGATTATACAAGCGATACAGAATTTAACTCGTCTCTTATATAGCCTTCAGGTAACTATGCTCTGACCCTGTGAATGTTTTCCCTCATGCAATTCACTTTATGTGATGAGTCCCAGACTTTAAAATTTAGAACATTTGAGAGGTAATGAATGATCTTAAAAGAACACCAACCCTCCACCTCCACCCCAAGTGTAACTCTGCTGATTCTTTGAGCTTCACCTGGTTTTGTAATCACGAGGCATCGCCATTACTGTAGTTTATATACCATTCTTCTCTGAAACCATAAAACAGTTCATATCTTTAAAAAATATTGATGAATATGATCTGGCTGGAAGTTTGCAATGAAACTCTTTAAGTGAGTGTAGTATGACTTCACATTTTCTGGTGAAAACTTAAATTCACACCTAAACTCTTTTCACTTCCACATGTGGCCTTAGGCCTTTGGGGCAGTCAGATAATTCACATGCTCTTCCGTTTCCTTGGTTCATCCACCCAACATTTACTGAGTACCCTCCCTGGGCCAGGCACTGTGATGAAGACTGATTACACGAAGGCAAGTGGTCCACAGAGTCTACCATCAGATGCTCCCTGTCTGTCCAGGAAGGACAGGCATCCGAAAAATGAGGGCTTTGGGGCTGGATGATCCCCTAGGTCCTGCACAAGAAAGGCTGAATACATCCAATTGCTTAATTTGTGAGTTAAAAAATATTTTTAAATGATGTGAAAGCAATGTTTATAGACAGATTTATAGAAAAATCTTGATACATGTAAGTAAAATAAAATGACTTGTGAGAGAGAATTCTGTGGAGAGAATTACTGTTGTCTGGGGGTATGTATCCCTCCAGTTTTTAAAAATCATTTTATGTGTACCCTTGGAGCCTGTACCTCTCTGTCATCTGTTGTCTCCACAGCGCAATTGTTAACGGTTGTACAATATTCAGGTCTGTGGAAGTAATCCATCCCTCATAGTTTATGGCGTCCCTGGTGGCTCAGATGGCAAAGAATCGGCCTGCAATGCAGGAGATCCACGTTCGATCCCTGGGTCAGGAAGATCCCCTGGAGAAGGGAATGGCAACCCACTCCAGTATTCCTGCCTGGAGAATCGCATGGACAGAGGAGCCTGGTGGGCTGCAGTCAAAGGGTCACAAAGAGAGAAATACCACTGAGTGACTAACACACATACACACACAGTTTATACTTTTCTGTTAATACTACTGTAGCACACATCTTTGTGCACTGACCTCTTTGAACATATCTAAGGTGTCCTTAGGATAAATTACTGAAATCAGTTTTTGAGGTTTTTGAAAGACATTGTCAAAATACTTGGCACCCCTCTCTACTTCTCTTTTTGAAAATAAGGCAAGGTAGCTCACGACCTTAATTTGCATTTTTTGGTTACTACTGAAATTAAACTTTCCCCCCCACCTGTTTATTGTCATTCAGATTTAATATCTTAAAATCTGTTGAATATTAAAAGAAAATAAAGTCTGATACTAAGTTTTCATCAGAAAAGATAGTCATGCTACATTTGCTGTTTTGTTATTGAGTCAATACTTTGACTGCATCAAGATGTCTTTGATGTTCTATTGATCATCTGCCTATTCTTGATCAGTAGCATTATTGTATCTATTAAGATTATTAAGATAAGTACCACTCTCTTAGATATCTGAATGTTCTTTCATAAAAGCTTTTGAATCACTCTGACAAATTTCTTAAACTTATACTGAGAAAGTTTAATTAAGATATTACTATATTTATGAATTAAGTTGGGGAAAATTGGCACTTTGGCAATAATTGGTTCTCTTGACTGAGAATATGTTATTTTATGTTCTGTTGGAAATCTCTGTAATTGTCTTCAATTGGGTACTTCAATGTGGGTACTTTTTTTCTGCTAAGTTTATTCCTGGATATTTGTCTCTGTTTCTATTGTGAACAGAATGTTCTTTTTTTCATTATGTTTCCCCAATATTGGTTGCTGGCATAGATACAAGTATTGATTTATTTTTTTAAATAGGCAAACTCATCGAATTTTTGTTTTAGCAGTTTTTTTTTGGTTTTTTTTTTTACTCTTTGGGGTATTCAAAGTAGTAAAAAATTGAAAGTATAGTATTATGGCTACTCTTCAATAATTAAATTAATTTTATTTTCTTGACTTACTCCTTTGGTTAGAAATTCTGAAATGTCTCAATAGTGGCCATAATAATATTAAATAGTAAATAATAGTGGCCACCCTTGTCTTATTCAAGATTTAGTGGGAATACCTTTAGTATCTTACATTAGATATGCTGGACTGGGGTAGATGTTCTTAGAGATTCATTTCTCATGTAAAACAAATATTGTTTCTTCTACATTTTAACTGAGAAGGAATATAGCATGAGTGCATTTCATTAACTTTTGGGAGATGAAAACATTGAGTGTCCCATTGTTTGCTGGGTGAATACACTCACAAGCTTCTATCTGTTCTTTTCAACCTTAAATGCAGCCCTCTGTGGATTCAAGGTTCAGAAAAGCTGGGTGACCTAAATGACCTCGTTTTTGCAACATTAGGTTGAAGCAAATACCAAACTCTAGAGCGTGTTCTCTTAACCAATGCTTTTGAGCTGGCTTAAGGCTATGTGCTCTGAAAGATTTCTCTTCATTGCACAGTCATCTCCTTTGAAGCTGAATCTCTTATGCATGATTAAAGTGTTTTACATAGCATTTTTGAATCAGATGAAAATGAAATTTGATCCCTATGTTAGAAGAATAGACTTAGAGATGAGGTATAGGCAAGACAGAAAGGAAAGGACACACTTCAGCAGAGAAAAGTTGAGAGAGACTGAGGCTATGTGTGCAACTAAATCACTTTGCTGTACATCAGAAACTAGCACAACACTGCAAACCAGCTACACTTCAGTATAATTTAAAAAAAAGAGAAAGAGAGCCAATTGGGAATTTTTCTAAGCTTGAAAAGTAAGTGCTGCTCTCAGTCTTACATGTAAACGTAAACTTTAAATGCGGAGATGAATATCCAGTCTTCAAACTTCACCCCTATGCTACAGAAGAGTTGTTTTATCCCAAATGTTAAGTAGATGAAAAATACTTCATGTTAGTGTTTAGTCTAATTTTAATCCTTACCTGAGAGTTACCATTGCCTATGGAAGTTTTGGCGTATAGAATATTGGATTTGTTTGTTTGTTTGTTTTACTCTCCTGATGCCCTCAGGAATTGTTAGAATTAACTGGTGATGTACAGTCTACAGTTTGCTTTAGCCAGGTCAGCAGAGTCCTGAATGGCTTATTATTTCATATTTAAAGGTCTAAGTTATTAGTACCTATTTTCCATGGTATCACCGTTTTCTTTAATAACCACTGAAAGACAATAATCAAAAATTCATGTGAATTTCAATTTTTAATTGATTTTCACAGTTAGAAACATTTCATTTCAAAAGACCTCACTGAATACATTTTTGAGTCTTGTTCCAAAACAAATACTAATTTAAAGTATACTTTAATTCTTAAATCTTCAAAAGTATAGGAAACTGCTGCCTTAAAGAACTAATCGTCAAATCCTCATCTTCTCAGCATCTGTTACATGGATAGCTTTTTAAATTTTTAGGAAAGAAAAATGAGAATCTGTCCCTTGGAGAGTAATAATTTCTCATAACAAGTCACAGTACACACACATACCCAGTATGTGGCTATTTTCAATTTGTCTCTTCTCTGTTTCTTTGTGCTTTCAATGGGGACTTTTGAAAATAAAAGCTTCCAAGGGCTTTCACATTTTTTTGTTTTATTTTGTGGAATCCTTCCAAAAGTTGGCAGTTATTTCCTGTGATACTGCCAAACTTTTAATAGGTAGATACCGTAACTAAAAAACAAAAATTTATTTTAATTTGGTTGGTAATTTCCAAATCTATATCCATATCCCCCTAATCATTCCAGCCTCCTTTTAGCATTCTGTCAAACAGGTGAATTCCAGCTTAGTGTTTTGTGCATGACCTTCCTGCTATAATACAAAGAAATAACAGTAATGAGACTAGCTTTACCATTTATATATCTCCTAAATATGATATTAACTGCTATTATAAAAAAGATTACTTAGCAAAGCTTCCAAATGGTTGACTTTTATGTCTTCACATATGTCATATAGCTTAAGTAATTTCTGGTTGGAGACTCAAAAGGTACTACCAGATTTATATAGATTCTTAAATTCTCCTGAATTACTGACTGTCAAGACCTCAGAAAGATAATGTGGAATGGCACAGAAAGGCAGTCTTGTGAATTTATGGACTGAATTCTTACTCAGAACACTTGCTTAAATATTGTCCAACAGCAGCAGCAAACCACATTTCCAAAGGCGAGAGAGACTATTCCTTTTGGGCTTTATTTCTTTTGTGTATACATCTCAGACTGTACCACTAAGGAAATGCAGACAAGCCTGTCTGAAGTGCCAAGGCCAGACTCGGGAGGTAACTTAGAACAAGGAGAGAAGTGTTCAGAGAGAATCACTCGGTCATACTTTCGTGTGTAGAGGTGCTGCCAACTCACGGTGCGGACGGTGTGGACGCCTTTCCTTTCTCGCTCTCTGCTCTGACAGGCCGCCTTGACCATTCAGGATAGCCACATTGAGATCCACAGGCTGGTTCTCCGGCAGCGGGAGAGCCTGGCCCCGGGCCCCGCGTTCCGAGGCAGCCCCTTTCAGGACCAGGAGAAGTCCCGCAGCCTGGAGAAGCAGCGGGAGGAGCTGGCCGACACCCACAAGCTGCAGCTCCAGTTCCAGCAAGACCAGCAGCGCTGGCTCCGCAGGTGCGACCTGCAGCAGCGCGAGCAGGAGGCCCGGGCCAGCCGGCTGCAGGAGCGCGAGAGGGAGTGCCGGGCGCAGGAGGAGCTGCTGCTGGGGAGCCGCGGCGAGCTGGACCAGCAGCTCCGGGACTACCAGCAGAGCCTGGAGCGGCTGCGCGAGGGCCAGCGCCTGGTGGAGAGGGAGCGCGAGAGGATGCGGGCCCAGCAGAGCCTGCTGCGCCGCTGGAAGCATGGCCGGCAGAGCAGCCTTCCCGCCGCGTTTTCTCCAGGAACCCTGGAGGTACGGGGCTCCTGGGCTCGCGGAAGCAGAGTAAGATGGCTTCGGTCGTGGTGGTTTTGGAGCCGTTGAACACATGTCTTTCTTTTTGCTGCTCATGTAAGAGCTCGCAAGAGTTACTCAATATGTAGGGAGCAGGAGCTGGGAACTTCCAGAGACAAAGCGCATGCATCTTGACATCTTGACACATTTGAAAAGTCTGGGTGCTTCTGGATCATGGGTTCATGGTACTCATGATAGATGCCCTTGATACCAAGGGAAGACATACAGAATCGAGTTGTCCCAGTGAGGCGAGTGTTGTCCTGGAGTCTCCCTCCACACAAGTGTGTTTCATGTTCGAAGAGGTCTGTGCTCTGGTCTTCAGAGTTCTGTAGAGATTTACCTTTCAGTGGATCGTTAGCTAGTAACGTGCACAGGTGCTGAATTTAACAAGTATACTACTATTCTGTTATTCCAAGTTTATTTTCTTTTTTGTAAATTTGATCTAAAGTGAAACTGAAAGTCGCTCAGTCGTGTCCGACTCCTTGCGACCCCATGGACTGTAGTCCTTGGAATTCTCCAGGCCAGAATACTGGAGTGGGTAGCCTTTCCCTTCTCTAGCGGATCTTCCCAACCCAGAGATCGAACCCAGGTCTCCCGCATTGCGGGCGGATTCTTTACCAGTTGAGCCACAAGGACCTAGTAAATTCAAAATCCATTTTTCACCAGTGGCAGTTAACGTGAGTAGTTTAATGTTTAGTCCGAATAAAACCTTTTGAAAAGTTCCGTGTTTCGTTTTGCACCCTCTTGAACCACTCTTGACAATTTCATTTGTCCCAGGAGTTTACTTTTCTGTACTGTGTGCACATAGATACTTTTTTTAATGATAGCATATAAAGTTGTAAAAGTTGTTAAGCTTATAAGAATGATCTGTGTTGTATCTTATTTTCCTTTCTAGTTGGCTAAATTATATTTGTTGCAAATACCTTACATACACATGAATGTTTTCAACTTTTATTTAGCAAAAGTGAAAATGCTATTCCCTTAAAGTAGAAACACTTTAATGACAGTTAACACTACCGCACATGTTTTTTCATTTGATTTGTATTTCTTTTAAGATACGCTATGTTTTGTAAATTGAAGTTTTTGGTACTGGCTTATTAAAAGAGGATGGGAGGAGGGAGTCAAGGGTAAATATCCTCTACCATACTCCTTAAAGTCTTGATTGCTAAATTCTATTAGGAATAAATACTTTATAAAACTGGTGCAAATTGCTGAAGAACTTATTCTGTTTTTTCTTGCACAGGTAATGGAACTTAATCGATCTGAGACTTTATGTCACGAAAATTCATTCTTCATCAATGAAGCCTTAGTGCAAATGTCACTTAACCCTTTGAACAAAGCGACGCCACCAGATTTCCATCAGGATGCCACTTATCCCCCAGGCATATCTCATTCTGATTTGGTAAGGACTAGTGAAAATCAAGTAGACCTCAAGATGGACGTTTCTCAACCCTCAGATGTCAACCATGAACTGTGGATAGCGGCTGGGGCCTGTCATCAGATACCCCCTCTCCACCAAAGCAGCAAGGATTCTTGTAAAAATGGTAATTAATACTTCACACGTCATCTCTGTAGTTTCCACAAGGAGCTGTTTCTCTGAGTGGTTGGCTGTTCTTTAGAGCAGATCGAAGTGGGCCCTAGAATGGGAGTAAACTGGTGCTGCTGAGCTGGAGTTCGTGGCATACCCTTTTCTTTGGGGAAGTCTGGGGTCCATCGCTTGTGAGCATCGAGACAAACTAGAGCAGGGTGGAGGGCTTGGAGGATGTCACCGGAGTGTGAGAAGCAGGGTTATCATATCTGTGGGTTAAATGATGACTTTCCCCTGAAAAGTGAAGCAGCTTGGTATTTATTCTTCACTGTAGACCTGACCACGTCCTGATGCACATCCTTGCAGACTCTCAGAAAGGAAAGACAGGGACAGGATTTGTGGTAGGGCTTTATTGTCTCTTGGGGCAATTTCCTACAACTTTAGTGAAGTCTTCTGTACTGCTGTTAAACACCCCAAACGAAATCGTAACATCATCTGTCATTTTTTTTTTAAAGGTGTTGTGTCTCCTTAAGTACCTCGTAATAACACAATTTGCTAATCCCATTGAAACATTTGTCACATATAAATGAAAGGCAGCTCGAGTTACCAGCTCCACGTGAATCCAAATGATTTAAATCTATGTCTATTATAAATTGTTTTCTATGGGATATGAGGTAGGGAATGAGAAGAACTTGAAACCTCTCTACCGAAAAACAGATGGCATGCAATAGAATAAACAAATGGCTGGCCACATGGATGGGAAATAAATCACCAACAGCAAAATGTTTCAGAAACCTGAAACAAGCAGTGATACAGGGACCTTCAACACTGGACAGAGATTGGTTCCCTAGCTTCATAGATGTGCTTAGCTTGTCTGGAGGATGATTTGTCAGCAGCAAAAAGGTTTGAATGTGTCCAGCTTCTCCGAATTAGGGAGTAATAATTCTGACACTGTCTGAAAGTAGGTCTATTACTAACCCAAATTTTGTTAATTCTTTGCAGTGGGTAATTCTTTACATTATTCGGTCCCTGCTGTAACATTTCTTGTCAACATCTAAGAGAATGAAGTAGTTCTTTATCATTGCAAATATTCTTTAAATAAAAAAGGGGAAAAATGGAATAGTGAATTGAGATCTAAAATATGGGCCGAATATAGAAAATGTAACCCCTTGAATATACTATCTTGCAGCTCTAACACTGTAGAGACCATACTGCAGAATGCCTTCTCCTGGTACATGTTGCTTTGCTATGTGCGTTCATTAAGTTGCTATTTGCAATGCTTTCTGTGTTGGCAGTGTGGTTTTGCATGCCAGCTTTGGGATAATTCAGAAACTCAGTTTGAGTTAAACCACATTCTGCTTTTGTTTGAAATAAGTATTCCTGCTTTTTCTGTATCTCCCATCTTTTTCTGTTGAGTTGTGCTTTAAAGTAGAAAGCTTTTAAACATTTGGCTGCCTGCTTGCAGGAGATAGAACATGTACTAAGGAAATAAACAGTGATTATATACAAAACCCAGTGTCTCCACATGTAAGGAATTAAATATAGCCAAGGAAAATGCTGAGAAAATGTGCTTCTGCTTCAGATGCTGTGTCCGGTATAGGCCAAGGACACTAAGGACATTGACAGAAGGGAGCAAAATCAACTCTGGCTTTCCTCTCTTGGGAGCATCCTGGTGTGTGCAGAAAGGATTAGGTCAGAAATGCAGTGTGGGCTGTTAAGCATTGGAATTTTGCAACTAGTCAAAAAAACTGTATTTATGTTGGTTTACTTAAGCATGATAAGCAGTTTCTGGAGGAGAGAGAATAACGTAAGAGATTAGGAGGAGATGATAGGCAAGTGGAATGAAAATTGGATAGATACTCTTAAGAGGGTTGTCAGGGCCAGATAAAACTGTTCGAGCCGTTCCAGAGCTTTCACGCTTCTCAGAATCGAAAGTAGCTCAAAATAAGCCACTGATGGTGGTCTTCACTAGACTTTTTCTGGGCTTTTCTTGTGTGCCTTTGGAGGGGGGCAGGAAGGGGGAAGTGGGGCGGCGGGGGCTGGCGGGGCAGCGGCGGGGGAGCTGGAAGAAATCAGCCAGAGCTGTGCTGGTGGAGAGGGGCCGGCCCATGTGCTAGGATCCAGGACAGCGCTGTGTCCGCGTGCCCTGCCTTCCCATTTCGCTGCTCTAGCTTGGGGTGGGGGGTGGGGGGTAGCCATCAGGGACCACTGCTCTCACTAACAGAATTTGCCTCTCATGTTCTTGGCTGGTGTTTTTGTTAAATGTGCATTTAACTATGGTTTGATTTCATCAGTGGGCTATTGTCAGGCAGCTCTCTAAAGAATCATTTGCTCTTTTGTCTGGTCTTGTGTTGGGTGCCTAAGAGAGCAGCTCAGATCAATGGAAATGTGAATTTGGGGACCAGTAAACCTAGTGGGAAAAAATTGGGTGTAAATAGAATTCCTGAACGTGTTTAGCTGTCGCCCAGATTGGAATTTCATTTTGGCTGCTCAAGCCAACCTCATCAGACATTTCACTGTGCCGTTTGTGTCCTGGCTGTCACTGATTTTTCAGTATCTCCATCATTCCCACCACCACTGACAGTTACAGGACACTTAACCAAATCTCAAGCACTGTGCTAAGGTTTTATGTGGAGAAATCAATTTAGTACTAGCAACCATCCACTGAGATGATTCTGTTATTGTCTCCATTTGAGGGGGGAAACGGAGGCACAGAGAGTTCAGTGACTTGTCCAAGGCCAATAGCTAGTAAATAGCAGAGCCGGAGATGAACTGGGAAGACTGGCTCCAGAGTCCATGCACTGAGCTGTTACATTGTATGCTGCTAATTTCTGGAGTGCTGTTTTAAATTCTCCTTTTAAAAGAAGTTGTGGTAGAACTAGAATAAATTCTGTTGTACTGTCTTGGCAGGATATTGATGTTGAAGGCCTAGTTCTTTGTGGTTGTCGTTGCTTTCGTTCCTTCCTTCTTTTTTTTTAATATTGCCGTTTGGAAAATATTTCTAAATCATTTGGATTGTGGTGGTCAATGCTTGCTTGGGTTCTGAGGATTTTCAGATTTCATAAATACCCTTTAGCTTCACATTTTTCCCTATCAGACCCATTTTCTTAAGGATTATTTGTGTCTCCAGTGTTCCCTAACAATAGCCCTGTGTTACTTGTAAACATTTTTTAAGGTAATACTTTATAAAGAACGTTACTTTCCAGTTTTGGGAGTAGTCTCATGAACAAAATTCTTGATGTTTGAACATTAAATTCAAATTGGTATTTGATTTTATTTATAGTGGAAGAGATGCTTGGTTTATGAACTTACTCTGCACTGTTCTGAGGGACACTAGCCAAGACTCCAGAAAATTTTAATTTCTTTAAACAATGTAGTCCCCGTAGGACAACTGCTATATAAATGGCCCCATGAAATGCTCAACTGTATTACTCTTCTTAAAGGCAAAAGTCAGCAGAACCCACCTTCTTTCTGTGCCTTTTTTCTCACTCAGTTTTAGAATTCCAAAACTATTTACTCAGTGTCTCTGTTAGTTTATATTTGTTGTTGGTTGTTGTTTAGTCACTAAGTTGTTCCCACTCTGCAACCCAATGGACTGTAGCCCACCAGGCTCCTCTCTCCAGGAGATTTCCCAAGCAAGAATCCTGGAGTGGGTTGCCATTTCCTCCTCCAGGGGCTCTTCTGACCCAGGGATCAAACCCACGTCTCCTGCAGCGCCTGCATTGGCAGGCAGATTCTTTACCACTGAACCACCTGGGAAGCCCATAGTTTATATTTAACTTTTCCATTAATCAGCAGAGAAAATATGGTATGATAATTAATCTGAAATATTCTTAGTCTCTCCTTTCAGTTATATTTTTATCTGTACCTCAGTATTTGCAGGTTACCTAAAAATTCCTTTTCAGCAAATCATAATTTTTCCATAATGTATATGATAAAATTTAAATTGAGAACCAGATTTCATGCATTAGTCACATAGTTGACATTGGAAAAAGAATAACTTTATTAAGTTTGAATTCCAGAAGAGTGTTTCCCTTACTACATGTTAGAATTTAGTGCCCATCAAAATATTTTCAGATTCAAAGCATTGTATTCAGAATATTTCGTCTTGGCAGTCTTGTCATATTTTTTTAAACACAGCTGTGTTAAACTTTCAGTGACTTTTTTGACATATGGAAATATAATAGAAAATTTCCAAATAAAAGCTACACTCTAGTTAGTATTTAATAGTCTTTAAGAAGTGAGTAGGTGATAATTTCTAACATTTAATAAATATTCTATAACTCAGAAATGGGTACCTTATTTGTGTATTCTGTGTGAAAAGAAGCTTTTGCCAAGGACCTACAGGCAATTTCCCGTAAGCCTGAACCTGGCATTAGATAGTATAAACTTCAATGACAAAGAGGTATTTGAAAAGGTGGATGTATTAGTTTCTAGAGCTGACATAATAAAGTACCACAGATTGGGTAGCTCAGAGAGAAGTTTCTTTCCTTGCACTTCTGGAGGCTGGAAGTCCAAAATCAAGGTGTTGGAAGGATTTGTTTTTCCAAGGCCTCTCTTGGCTTATAGAGGGTTGTCTTCTCCCTGCCTTCACACAGTCTTCCCTCTGTGCAAATCTGTGTTCAAATTTCATCTCAGAGGATGTCAGCCATGTTGGATCAGGGTATACATTAGTGACCTCACTCATTTACTTCTTTGAAGGCTGTATCTTCAAATGTATTTTGAGGCGTTGGGGGTTAGGACTTCAATATCTGAATTTGTGGAGGGGGACACAATTCTGCCTTTAACACAGGATAAATCATTATTTTCTCTTTGCTGTTTTTAGGTGCCATGAAAGCTTTAATTTAAAAGTACCAAAGTTGAATTGTAATTTAACTACAGTTTGAAACTTAAAAAAAAACAAAATAAAACTTGGTTAGAGAAATTTTTAAAAATGCAAAACAATAAAATTGTGATAAATATCTATATTCTTTATAGTTATAGGTATCTGTTATCAAGCCTCTGTCAACACAGTGA